GAACCTGAATATTCCAAGGTCTTCTGTCTATTGGGTCCTGGATACCAGGTCCGCAGAACCACTTAGTTCAAGGATAAGTTTCTACAAATTCTACTCACAGGTGTTTGCTTTGTCTTACGAGTACAAACGTAAGTAGCCTTATATTTTTTTGACAGGATCTTATCCAAGAAATATGTGAATCGGAATTACAAATACGTGATTTGAGACTTGGTTTCCAGTTCACGCACGAACAGTTGCACGCACAAAATGCGTGCAGCCCTGCCTCCATCGCCATCACTTTGGAAGACAAACTGCCCCGTGTTCGACGGCATGACAAAGTCAGTCCTGAGCAATTTTTGATCAGCGAAAGGATGGCTTAATATGGTCTAATCATAGTCTAGTATAATTAATTATAGTTCAATCATGTTCTAATGGTGATAAATGATGATGAACTTGGAGTTGGGATGATCTCGCCAAAAACCAGCAACAAAAAATATATCATCTACCACCATGGGTACACTAATTCGTTCACGATGGAAAAACACCATTTCTTTTAGGTAAATCATTTACTGCAAGGAGGCCATGGTTTCCATAGCTATGTAGTAGGGTACCACCACTAGCTAGTTGTCAGTGACGCTTGAATGGCAAAACCATGGCAAAACTCATCTAGCATAGTAGTTTTAAGGTCAGCGGGCCCGTTGGCTCTGTTGGTTGGTTTATGGATCACCATCAAACGTGCAACTTGACCATGTGACAGGACGAACTGCTGCGCTGCTGCGCCAAGTGTCCAGCCGCTGGTTTCTTTGCCGCAGAAGAACTCTTGTGGCTCAGCATTCGCAGGCTCCTCAGGGTGGAAACACCACAGGTGACCTCCCTGAAAAAGCAACGGTGCAACATTCCAGACACACAGCTCGAAAAGTACCATTATCTCCTAAATCACCATTTTTATGGGTGGTATGGTTACCATTCCAAAATGGCTAGTTTATGACATTGTTTTAACCACATTATCACTTAATATAACCCCAAAATGTGCGAATTTCAGATGGAAAGTTATTCAAAATACATCAAGTACCCGAAGCGTTGGGTTTTCCATCCCATGTGAGCCATGAAAAATATACACCCGTTTTCCCATCTCATGAAAAACTTTATGCTGCTTGGTGAATAAATATTTCCACTATTGGTTGGTGTTGGTTAGTTCATAATCCCCAATAGGCCAGTTGGTATACACCCCTAATTCCTCTAATTAACATACCCCAAAAAAATTACCTGATGGGGTTGGGGCTCCACATTAACCCATCAACACCGAACTAAACCCATCATGGGTTAGTTCATAATCCCTGATAAACACCACTATGATATTAACATAATAAATCCCCAATAACCCCCATATATGGCCCTGGAATTAGTTAAGCGGTTAGGAACTGGTTATCTGGTTTTGACCCATTATTCAGCCAGTTTTCTTTTGACCAGTTCATGCTCCATCTTTGATAGTCCACATTCAGTTTGATTGATTAATGGTGGTTAAATTTTCCGTTTATAGCACAAAACTACAGGATCAGTTTCTACAATTGTCCATCATCAAATCCTCATGAAACATCATCATCAAATCATCATTAAATCCTACCCATCCAGCGACACAAACGATAACTGGTTGGTGGTTGAGCCTACCCCTCTGAAAAATGGAGTTCGTCAGTTAAGGGATTAGTCATTCCCTATGGAAAAATCATCCATTCATGTTCCAAACCACCAGGGATCAGTTTCTACCCAGCGCCAAGTGTCCAGCATCAGGGTGATCCCCGCGAGTTGCCGAAGTCGCTCTGGATCTTCCAACACCTGCGCCGCAGTGTCACGACGCGACGTGACGCGACGTTCGTTGAACGGAACGGAACGGAAGCATTGTCCCTTGCAAATGATGGGGGACATATATGGAAATCTTGGGTGAAATATCTTGATTCTCATGCAAATAACATACAATAAATCTGATTGTGGAACAAAACATGGAGAAAAAACAGTTTTTTTAATGTCAATTTAGAAATTGAGGGTGTCAAATTAAGGGGTGCAAAACCCCTATCTCTCCGTATACGTCTCATGGAAAAACTGCTGTATACAACGGAAACATATGGAAACATCTGCGGGGACCCATGCTTTATAATTCGGGAAGATCGAGCAACACCTGATTTCGGGGATCATTCCAATTAGATAACCTGTGGAAAACACACACACATATATAATATCATATAATATAATGAGAATACTATATTATACAATTCGAAAATCTGATTGAAGAACATGAAATGATAGATTGAAGGGAGTGAACGCCAAGGATCTTGGTGGAGCAATAGATTCGATATCAAACGATATCAGCGTGAGCCAACGGAATCTAATGGATATGCGTAATAGATCAACATCATTTATATAAACATAATAGTCCTTCTTCCTATTACTAAAACTCACCCAAATAAACAAAATAGGATTGGTTTGGCACTTCCGCTTTTTTTGGTTGGGCACAATTGGATTGTTTATTGTGGTAATTGAGAATCAATAGGAGAACCAAGTGGTGAAACAATGGGTTCAACCCCCTATTGATAAAAATAGATTGGCACCTGGAGTTTTTTTTTTTTTAATTAGGGTACCATCTCCCAAGTTTTATTATTCTATCTTCATTACTATAAGGGTTTTCATTGGAATATTAGGGGAAAGCTTCGAAATCCAGTTCTTGGCCATATCTTATAGAGTTCAATAACAGATTTAATCAATTTGGAAATCTTTTTTATTTCTATTATTAAGGTTTTCATTGGGGAAAGCCAGTTTCTGTTCAATAGATATCCAATGATACCCTCTGGTAATCTAACATAGCTATGTAAAATCACCATTTTTCATGGGTAAATCCACTATAAATGGCAATTTTCAATATATATATATATGATCAGTGGCCAAAAGCATCGCACGTACCAAGCATTCCTTCCGTGGGATTTGTAGGTCACCAAAAAATCATCCAGGCCGCGCAGCCGGGTAGATCATTCCATTGGTGTAGCATCATATGCTCCATGTACGGAATATTTACCAACATGACTGGGTCATTTTTGGGGTAACTGCTGGTAAATATTCCATACATGGAGCATATGGCCATAAATTGGTGGATGCCTCGTGATCCAAAGCCATATCCCAGCATTTTTTTTCAGCACCTGCTGTGGCGTAAGATCTTGCAACGCGCGCTTGTTCTCATCCCGTTTGAAGGTCCTTAGCTCGAGCATCCACCTAGGATCCTGCCCCAGCTTCAAACCGATCAACCTCTCAAAGGTTTGGTCAAAACGACCAACCCTAGGCTACATGTTGTGTGGATGACCATTTCTCACAGTTAAATCCTCATTGTTTATCTGGTTGGTGGTTTCAAGCCCTCTGAAAAATATGAAAGTCAGTTGGGATGATTATTCCCAATATATGGAAAACTAAAAAATGTTCCAAGCCACCAACCAGTTATGTTGTTTGATACACTATATATATAATTCATGTTCACCACCCAAGTTCTATTGTGCATGACCCATCTGATCCCCGGTCATGGCCCTCCCGTTCTGTAGTAAGAAAACGTTGTTTTCCAGGTCGCAAACTGCAACAGATTCCCAGAAAGTACTGTTCACCAGCAAAATCTATGAGTTCAAGAAATGCTTTTTATATGGAGTATAATGTAAATGGTTTGTTTATTTGATATTAATGATTTATTTTAATATATTTCAACCGTTTATCTACAGGTTTTCTGAACCACCTGCCCAAAATCTTCCCCACCCAGACGGTGCGAGGGTCTCATGGAGACTCACGTGCCAGCCGCTCCTGACGCCCGCTTCCTTTGCGGGGCCATTCCCCGACAGGTCGCCCAAGACCAGCGTGCCGCCTGACGCAAGTGATGCTGTCTGACAGGACCAGCCATGGGAATGGAGGCCACATAGCACCTATATCTTTATGGTGATCACTGGGGAATGGTTTATGAACTTGTTGTACCCATATTATACATCTATATCTATGGATCCAAGTAAGTATCAGGAAGTATTTGGGCTATGAATTATGGGACTAGGCAGGTACTTTGGGGTGGATCCATAAAAAGTACACACTATATATAAACAATGCGAAGAAATATATGATGGAACATCCAGGGATGCTATCCTAAAGGGGTACCCTCTAAACGTTGCTGGTGGCTTTGTTTGAGCTCCGCAAACAAGACATGTTCCCAGTGGCTTGCCCGATAGAAACGGTTGCTGGGATAGTTCGAATTCCTGAGTTCAACCAAAATAACAAGCATCAATCATCTTCGCCCAGTTCAGCCCAGACGCCAAAAACAAACAAAAGTGATCATCATGAATCATGAGCGATACATCCTCATTTCAGGAAGCTGAAAAAACATAAGCCAGTTTTAAACCACTGTTTAACCATGTTAAACCGGGCTATACCATGTTCACTCATCTCCAACCACCAGCCATGGCAAACTCGAGCTCCGAGCTCCGCCTTGGCTCATCATTCCACTGATCTCCTCGGAGATCTTTCCTTTGTAGGTCACTTGGCAGATGGGAAGCAGCTGGAAGTCCAGGCCGTTGTAGAAGGTCACATTTCTCGGCGCGCCGGGGCCGCGGGGAAGTCTAATTTCTGGCGGATTTTTCGGATGAAAACAGGGAAAAACCAACAACAAACCAACAAAACAACATCAAGAAGTGGGTTTCAAACTCCGAAATGGAAAGATCAAGTGCAGTTGAGGTGAACAAATAGCAATATTATACTATTATAAACTTCAATTAGGGGTGTACTCCCCAAATAGTCATAATCTGATGCTTAAATGGTATTCCACCAATTAGTTCCAACCGTTTGGGGTGGAAATTCATCCAGGGTTGACATTAAAAAAAATAACCATGTTCGACTTGCATGAGCTGAAACCTTCAGACAAACATGTTGTCGCCATATCGCTGTTGGCTCCTGGTGTGGGATGCTCCGGATTGGGCGTCGATGCCATGAAGCCAAAACAACCAACTGGCCAGCTGACCGACAAGGGGTTCCTTGGAAACCCATGGAAAAACATACAGGAAACCCAGAAACCCATGGTCTTTTCTCATGAAAATCTTCCGAAACCACAACAAAGGGGCCATGGCTTGCTCGAGCAACCCATGGTCCTTTCCATACCCGATAAAGTCTGAGCTCTGGTCCCTTCAAGTACAAAACGGATAGTTATACAAGTGATGCATAGGTTTTCGTAACTATCCACAAAATGTATATCCAGTAATTATAAATTAAACTTAGTCATTTATACTTAAATATGTAGCTAACAAACTGACATATCTAACGAACACGGACAGCTCTTTACATTTGTTTGGTTCATTTTTTTTGATGAATCCAACTTCCCGACTCTAAAAATCATTGGTGGTTAGCCATACCCGTTCATGCTGATGAACCTCCACTTTCCGGTTGTTAAACCCGTTTTTATCCCATAGTTTGGGTTGCTTAAGCACCATCTTTGCTAGTTAAAATCCCAGTATCATGCTATGTTCATGCTATTTTCCGCATTTTTCCTCCATTTCCAGCTTCACCCATAGTCACCCATTTCACACAAGGTGGTGCCCCCCCAAGTTATAAATGGATTATAATCCCATGAAATATATATATATATATATCACCTATAAACCATAGTTATTGGACTTATAAACCAACTTAGCTAACTATGGAGCACCACCCTGCAGCCAAGCATCATGTTCTTCACCTCTCTCAAGGCCTCCAATCGTTTCTTGAAGCCCTCGATGTTCTCCGCTATCTCCGTCCTTGGGCAATCTCGCCCTCAAGGAACTGGTGTAGTTCGGGTGATGTTCAAAGGATTTCATAGGGACATCTGTGATTTTCCATTACCCATATGCTCCATGGTGCTGGTATATTTACCTACATTTGGGTGATTTTTTGGGCAAATGTTGGTAAATATTCCATACATGGAGCATATGGGTAATGGAAAATCACCTATGAATGGAGGTTTATAGCTGGGAACGTCATCATGGGAACCTCCATTAATTAATAAGTACAAGAGGTTTTTTAGCTCCACAAGTTGGGATAGAATCCCGAATGGTTTGCCTCCGGTAGTCAGTTCCATGGCGTGGAAAATCGCCCAGCTATAAATAGTTGGATGATTTCTGGTTGGTGGTATACCTACCCCCCTGAAAAATATGAGTTGGTCAGTTGGGATGATGAAATTCCCAACTGAATGGACAAATAAAATTCATGTTCCAAACCACCAGGTCGCGGGCGCGTCAGGCGCCTGGCGTTTCTATAGCGTTTCTGCATCAAAACGTCTCTTTTCAACTCTTTTAGCAGTTGTCGGCGTCGTTGTTTTTCACCAACTTTGCCAGCTCTTTCAGCATGACCAGTGGTGTACAAGTTTGGAGATTACATCTCCACACATATTGGAAACAACGACGTCGCAGAGATGGATTCACCTCTGACCCCACCAAAGTCTTCACTTTTCTGTGAATATTGGAAAAAACAAATTTCTTCAGACTCAACCATTGTCGGTCGATTTGCTGCGTGCCAGCGATTTTCGACAACTTGGTACTGTTGATGTCAGTGAGCAGGCGGCAAAACTCTTTGTTTTGGTGACTCACCTGGTGACATTTAATTTTCAGATGCCGGGCAAGTCCAATGAACGTTAACATCCCCCCCCACCCACCCACCCACCCCCCACCCCAGTCAACGTAGCATCACGTAGTTGTGTTAATTGAAGAGAACGTGCAGTAGCGTAGCATCACGTAGTTGTGTAACTTGAGGAGAACGTGCAGTAGCGCAGCATCACGTAAGTGTGCAAGTCCAATGAACGTTAACATCCCCCCCACCCACCCCCCCACCCCACACCCCCCACCCCCGAACGAACCCATTTAACACAGAGAACGCACGAAATTACCAGGCGCCTGGTGCGCCCGCTGGCAACCACCAACCAGATTTTTAATGAAAAACCTTCCATTTAGTTTCGAGATTTCCCAGCGGAGCTGAGGATACCCCCAGAATGGGTAGGTTTTTTCTGCCTCCCCAACTGGGATCCTTCTCTCAGATTTCGGGATTGAGGATGGGACTTCACCATAAGATCCAGAAGGAATAGACAACGCGTTTTAATATAGTGGTTGAAGTTGGGTTTCAAACCTGTGGATTTTTAAGGACAGTCACAGGTTTGGGTCAAAAATGGTGAACAGAAATGACCCAGGGAATTCGAGGGTCAATAAGTTTGACCCATTCTTCCCACCTCACTGTTTCAACAAACGAATATCGTTGGAGATCGTGATCAAAGAATCGGAATCTCATTGACTGAACAATTCCAGCGTTGATGACCCTGATGGCTGGCAACTCTCACCGTATTTTTAGCCATTGAACCAGCTGGTATCCGATCCATTTAAGGACAGCCTCATCATTTGTCGTGGTGAGCCTCATCATGGTTCATCCCAGTTATAACTGAACTGTGTTTTTTTACTAGCAGGCTTGAACCAGCAACTACTTGCATCCTGTCGCAGAGGCTTCTTGGCGGACACCGGATTTCCTGATTACCAAGCAAGGAAGCCCTCAGAATCCCTCGGGGCTATGAATTTCCTAGGAATCAACGCATGTCCATTTGGGAATTGCATCGCCATCCAAAAAATATCCCATTATATCTCATTTATTCACTACATAATACTTATATAATCTATCTATATCTATCTATGTATCCCACTTTATGCCTTTCTTTTCCCTTCCATTCCCATGATCTTCATATATTCCCATGATTGATCCACGTCCACCTTCCGATAAAAACGCTGCGCGCCGAGGATCAAATTTTTGGGGACTGGGCCATATTCCTCGTCTTTCAGGTCTTTGAAGGGTTTTTGCCTGGCCACCGTCAAAGGTCATATGGTACTATTCATCTAGGGATTATCCAAACATAGTGTTTATATACATGTATTTATCTATCTATCTATCCATCCATCCATCCATCTTTAAAAAATCTTAAATATCATTGAACCTGACACATGATAATAAACAAATACAAAGGATGGGTTTTGTTGGGGACATCTTTTTTCAGGGGAAGTGCCATAGTTGTTAACCTCCAAATATACTGCATCTTATCTGGCTGAATCATCATAAACAAACTTCATCATGTTGGAATATACCATCTGGTTATGACTAACACAGCGAACTGGAAGCTCCATGAAATAAATGGAGGTTGATGTCGCTGGGAAAATCATCTATTTCTATGGGCCATCTATACCATGGCTATGTTAGTCATAACCAGAGGGTAGTTCCCAAAATATTGCGCATCCCAAATGAATGCTGTGTTTACCATCATTCGGGCCATATCCGGAGTGTAGAAAATGTTGGTGAACATACCTTCATCGATCACTGGGGTAACAAAGCAACAGACAATCATCATCTGGTAGAAAAACAAGGTATCGCCGCTGATAGCGACCCTGGGCCTTTCATCACCACATTCATACATGCTTGCCTCCAATGTCCCACGTTTTGTATGTTTTCTTTCATATTGGAAATTTGATAAAATTTGCACACATGCATTTTGTACCATTTTTTGCATAGGGCATGTGCATCATGTTCAATTTGCAGCGTAATGGCGATCCACACCTCTCTTTTTTCTGCGGGGTCATGTTTTCGGACACTTATCCTCGATGCTTTGCAGCTCTTTTGGCCAATGCATCTGCCAGATTCATTTTCTGATTCCAGCGAACCTGAAAGGATCGCACATACTGCTCAAGCTATGCAGCATCTCTTGTGCCTAATCCTTCATGAGTGCTCAACTCTTTGGGCACATACTTTTTCAGATGGCGCCACACCTGATCGAGCAATTGTGTTCCAGTGAGCTTTCGTTTGCCTTTCACTTTGACCATCTTACTGACCTGCATCTTCACATGGACCACGTTGCGAAATGGCAGGCGAAATTTTCCGCACTCCGATTCCGACCGCCAAGACTTGGCACCAACCCTATGTCCACCGTAGCGTGCACATCCGATGCAACTTCAAACCAACGTCAACATGCCCGACCCCACCCAACACTATGTCCACCGTAGCGTGCACATCCGATGCAACTTCAAACCAACGTCAACATGACCCACCCACCCAACCCTATGTCCACCGTAGCGTGCACATCCGATGCAACTTCAAACCAACGTCAACATGCTCCACCCCACCCAACCCTACGTCCACCGTAGCGTGCACATCCGATGCAACTTCAAACCAACGTCAACATGCCCCATCCCACCCAACCCTATGTCCACCGTAGCGTGCACATCCGATGCAATTTCAAACCAACGTCAACATGCCCCACCCCACCCAACCCTCTATCCACCGTAGCGTGCACATCCGATGCAACTTCAAACCAACGTGAACATGCCCCACCCCACCCAACCCTATGTCCATCGTAGCGTGCACATCCGATGCAACTTCAAACCAACGTCAACATGCCCCACCCCACCCAACCCCTATCAACTGATGTGGGTAGAAGCAAGAATAAAGAAACACTGACGGAGAAACATGCCACCATGCCCAGCTAAAATGCAACCAACAGTTGTGGAACGAAAGCTTGCCGTCTGAGAGTCTGACCTGGTAGAGCAGCAGACTTTGAAGATATTGCTATAGGGTCGCTAACAGAGGCGTTAGCAAAAACAACATACCAAGATAGGGACTTTGCCCTGCCCATCGTGAAACCCCCAGATGGAAATCCACATACAACAGCTGAATTCAAAAACAGCCACAGGCCAAGTGAAGAGCCCAACAAATTGGCATCTTGAATGAGAACATCAACTTCCAAACTGTCCAAAGTTCATTTCTTTGCTAGGGTTTCCATGTCACTTTCGCGAACAAAAAACACCAAGGGCATATCAACTTGAAAAAGTGGCCATCTGTCCAACTCAATCCACCCCACTGAGCATCTCACTGTGGTAAGCAATGCCTAAATCAACAAAAAACAAAACACAATACCTACCCAGGGGTAAAATGACATTATATGGAAATCCTATGGTTCACAAACTGATCTAGAAACGGTGGATGTTCACAAACTGACTTTCGTCTTGCCAGATCCCATCTCACAGCCATGTATGGAAACCCAATCTGGCATCCATTGTCAAATATGCCCAAGGAGTTTATTTCTATTCCACATGTTGTAGTTGAAATACTTTTAATACAATACCACTTTTCATACATGCTACTACTTATACACTAATCATTACATGATGGTCACCTATTTGGCCATTCCATTCTTTTTTCCTTCCCATTTCCATTGGCAGCAGCTTAACCATCTGCCAAGTTGCTTGATGAGATGGATCACATCGATGAACCAACCGGTGAAGACGCCTTTCATCTGTGCCGGGCCGCCAGGGTTCGCGAAGCCCGAAATGCTGAAGGGCGACAGGGGACAGGCCTGGAAAGCGACTGTGGGCACCGTGGACATGGAAATCCTTGTGGGGAGGCATCCCAGATGATGATACTTATAACTTGACGTAAAAGCTCTAAGCGCGCACACACATGTATATATATATAATTATATATATATATATAATATCCATCTGCCAAACCATAGCCTAAACCATATCTTACTCATCGAGGGGCCCCTTCCTGCAAGAAGGAACAACTGCTTGCTAATTTTAATCGCTCTGAAAAATAACCATTGGTGAGGTGCCACCAACAGGAAATTGGGAAACCACTTACCAAAAGTCGGGAAGCTAGCCCACTCACTAAACTCCAAAACTTGACCAAAAAGGATTGTCTCAGGAGGTATTTCATCCAAGCTTCAAAATTTCATAGGCATCAAGATATGCCACCTGTGTACCATAGATAGTTTGTATTCACAAGGTATAGGAATAGGAAGACACACTATATATTCATTATTCATTCCGCACTTTCGCTAGGTACATCGCTGGTTCTGCCAGGTTAAACACACATCTTTTTAGTGGAAAACCTTACATTTGTGTAAGCAACACAGCCATATATAGTGGCAACATCAGTTGCCATATCATGTTCTACACCGCCTCAATTTTGCTAGTTTCGCCATTCATCACCAATTTCTCTTGCTGCTTACATATACATTCCCGTTCCTTCTGCCCTAGCCAGCCCCCAGAAAAAAAAGGGTCAGTTTGGGTGTCATCCTCCCATTGTTCTTGAACTTTACGGGTGAGTGATACGTTCCTTTTGGTGGGATGAATATGGATGAATCACCGCACTTTGTCAGATGAAATCCTCCATGTGTTGGTTGATTGTTGCTGTTTTAAAAAACCCATCATAAGGGTAATGGTGATTATAATACTGTAGGTTAATTCTATGGGTTATGGTTGGTAGATAATACTAGCTACTCGTTAACTATATCTACCATAACCCATAGAATTCATCCATGAGAAGGCAACTGAACGCTATCTTGGCCCCATCCCCAGTGGTTCTAAAATTATGGCCGGCGGCCATGGCATTCCGTCATCATGGCCAACCTCCCCGCAGGAACTGAACCGAACCGCAGGAACCGAACCGAAATGGGGAACCGATCGGCAGTAAATGGTCGCATAATTCGCATGTGGTAGGGGACAATTAAAGCCTCAACGAAAACTACTATACTCTGGAAAAAACATGTTTGGAGATAGGTGTGGGGTTTGGAGCCATGTGCTGAAACAGGTATATATTCAAAAAATAAAAAAAAACACGGTTTATTGATTGCTATGCGTAATTATTTGGTAATGGTTAACCAGCTGGGACAAATACCGGCATTTTTCAAACTAATTAACTAGCTTTCGGGGTAACCATAACATTCAGGATAGCTTCTCTGTGTTTTCCGTCTTTTTGGTTGCCATGTCAGACTCAGGTGCCCCTGCCAGGACAGAGTCATCCAATGCATCTGCTTACAGAAGTTCACGGTTGGACCGGTTGGACACGAAGAACTCCGGAACTTCGTAGAACTCGGTTTATCTCGGTTTAGCCCATAGTTTCAAGGGGTCGTATATCTTGATGGTGAAGAATCAGCATTCTGGATACTCTGGATACATCTCGATACGTTTATTCATGGGCTGGGGAAAACCTCAGAAGCCAGTGGTTTAGTAACTTGGGGCTTCAATCCACCACTTTCATACTTTCAGAAGCCAACCATTGGCCCAACCCCTAGCACCGTAATACCCATGGCCCATAGATACCGTGTCTAACAAATCTCCTTGGCATCCTGGGTAATGTCAACCCTGGATTAATTTCCACCCCAAACGGTTGTTTAATTGGGGGGATCCCATTTAAGTAAGTATCATTTTTTGTGACTACAATAGGAGGGTACCCCCACAATTTTCATCAACCATGGTTTAGTCTCATCCGGAGTTGGCATTATACAATCATCAACCAAACATCCAATTCCGGTTGGTTTCCGTTGGCTTCACCTGTTGATTTAGCCGCGGCTAGGCCTCGTTGAAAGTGAAGCCAGCGATCTCCTCTCCGAGGCTCTCCGTGTACCTTGAGGCCGGACCCCGGGCATCATTTTAAAGATGATATGTCCATTCAATGGGATATGATCCTAATGGTAAATGAATAATGGGATGTGGATAATGATTATGATTATAATGGGATTATGATGATGATTATGATCATAATTCAATGGGAATTTCAGGATCCTAAAATGGAGGTACTGTACCATATAAGACCATATTTTGTTGGTACATAGGCCTTATATCAACTTACATCTTATATCTATAGGCCTTATATAGGCCTTATATAGGGTAGGTACCATCAATAAATCGGTTCCTGAAATGGCCATTGATGTCAATGGGATATCAATAGAATTGGGATATCAATTTGGATATCACACAGTTATGATGCTAGGATTCTAGGATACCCAGTGGATATCCAAATTTTGGACACGGGTCAAAATTGGATATCACAAGTATCACAAGTCGAAATGATCCAGACCTGGTCCACCCTTGGATCCCAAAGATGCGATCTCAGCGCGGCTGGGCTCCCAAAATGCAACATAGAACTCCTGACAAGTTGGAACAGGAGGTGAACCTTTTGCAAAACCACCCATGCTCATTTTGAAGGGAGGTAGAAAAAACTCAATGAAAAGGGGCTATCTCCCCGACAATCACAATTTCTCGCATTGCATTCTTCAATATTTGTGAGTTAGGACTTCCATTAACGTCTTCAATAAACTTGCTTACACCTCTATTTTTGTGACTTGACCCACGGTTAAACTCCATGTGTTGTTATGAAATCACTTAGTCCTCCGGAACGTCCATGGACTTTCTCCCTCCAAAAAATCGCTACCTCGAATCCCATCATCCATTGCCTTGCACTTGTGATACCCTCTGGCTATGTCAAAATAGCTATTGAAAATGGCCATTAATAGTGGATTTTACCATTAAAAATGGTGATTTTCCATAGCTATGTTAAATTACCAGAGGGTATCTTCTAAAATTCATTCTCAAGTCAAGTAATTTTCATAGAAGTTTAACCTTCGAGATCAGGACAAGACTACGAGGTCAAAATATTCAAAATCATCCACTCCCAAAAGCCGATCAGATTAGGCAATTTTACGCCTTTTAGGTTATAGGTCATACCCCCTACTAGACTAACGCAACTATTAATATTCTTAATGGAAAATCACCATGTTTAATGGGTAAATCAACAAACTAAATACTATAGCCATTTTCAAGTTCGCAAACTGTAAACGTTTACCAGAGGCTAATTCCTATTCATACCCCAATTTTGCTTGGTGAATTCCCATGAACATCACCATATATAATTGCCAGCTGGGTTTCTCCACATCCCCAGCTTTTTGGCCCGGTCAAAAGGATTTGGCCCGGACACTTCACTCGAATGACTTTCTTCTCTTGTGCGCAGGTGGCAGTGCAATGTCGCCCTTCTGCTGCGTCAAGCCACTCCCCTGGTCATGGGATGGTGAAAACGGTGAAAATCCGCAAGAAATCTGGGGTTCATCGGTTTTACCTACAAAGATTGGAAAAATATCGTTTTTTGTTGGCCAAAACTTACCTACAAAAACAGACAACCTTAGATACCCTGCATATGTTGTCATGTTTGTTACCTTTGCGGTTAATATAAGATCAGATTCAGCCCAAAAAATACAACAGATTGAAGTACAAGAAACAACTACCATCCAAAATTTTCGCAGGTTAGATGGTTACATCCATCTACCTCTGAGTAGTCGAATGTCAGCTGGAAATACTTAGCCAGCCATGGCTGCCAGCACACGTCTTTATGGAGTGGTTCGTGGTGACCCTTCTAAGGATAGTTGCAAAAATACGCGCCCAAATATCACATTACATTGCCGCAATCTTTGTTTTTCTTCCGGCTGTTGGGCGTTACTCATTGCCAAATGTATAAATCTACAGGAAATCCTGATGTTTATTCTGATGTTCATTTATACAGCTACGATGTTTATATCATTGCCAATTATCCTGATCTGATGTTTATGCTGCACATGTTCCATCATTTTCCCCAGCGATTCTGGGAAGCCGCTAGCCCATCATCTCTTTGGCGGAGCTAGCTGTTATCACATATCGCACATAAAAATTATCGCTTCAAGATAGTTATATCATATATATCAGGTTATATCAGGTTATATCAGGTTATATCATACCTGTATGATATGTGATGGTTATAAGATGAGTTATAAGATGTTGTAAGAGTAGATGTATGATGTAAACATCTTAGCTGTATAAATGTTGATGTATCTTTGCTGCTTCTTGTTGGTTTCACCATCCTATAGCTCTCATATATTTGACCTTGCTGATTGCAGCACCCAATCAGACCCAGCGGCTGAAGCATCCGCAAATCTCTGACTCATCGTGGTCGATGTTCACTATCCTGGGTTTATTGAAGTGAAGACACGTGGGTTTGCTCGGACATGGTTAGTAATGGGAAATGATGATTACGTTGTCATTCTTTGGGTGCCCTATCTTCAAACAAACACAATGTGAAGACCCCTTGGGTAAGTCGCTTTCCTGTGTCATCCATTCTTCAAGTGGTACCTTTCTTCTCCGCTCCAAGGATTTTGAAGGAAGCCCGGCTGGTACAAAACAAAACACGTCAAATGTGAGGCGAGGCCTTGCCTGCATGATATCCTCTGGCAATTTTTTCCACTAAAATAATTCATATTCAAACCCACCTCCTGTCTGTAGCCACGGAAAGCACAAGCGCTACTCTTTTCATTCAAGCTGAAGGTCGGAAGGCTCACCAATCTTGGAGTTGACAGTTGATGCTTTCACCCGAGCCCCCTTTGAGGCACCGCGCACGAGTTTCAAGTTTTTCATTCAATCTGGAGCTCAGGAGGTATGGGGTATTCATAAATGCCACCGGCACTCCATTCCTTGTCCGAGATGCTCACATATAGCGATCTGTCCTGAACCAGAACTGCTACGGGGAACAAGGGTTCCGCACACTGCAGGACTTCGATAGGAGTTACGTTGCCCGGATGGAAGGCGAGCACTCTCCTCTGTTCTTTTTCAGCGACATAGATCGTTCCATCTTCAGTTACAAATAGGTCCCACAAACGCGATGCATACTCAGGGGACTCAGGGCAGATTTCTCCCACTACAATGGGTTCGAGGGGGTCTGCTGGATCGATGCATAGAATGCGATGGTTTAGCTCATCACTGAGATAGATCATCCCTTTCTTGGTCACGAACAAAGCTCCCACTTTGAACTGTAGGTCTGCTGGAAGACTCTCGGAAGCAATCACCGTCTGGAGTGTCGAACCCACCAACTTGCGCAGTGTTCTCCCATCCTCCTCCACGCCGTACAGCACTCCGTCGGACGAGCAAAACATGCAATCAAGATATATATTGCCATGCAACAGGTCCCACGACCCATCTTGCAAACAAAGAAGCCTTCTATTCGGATGATGCGAAATCAAAATCTCCCCTTTGGGACCGAGGGAGAAATCAAAAGAGGAAGCTAGGTTGATTCCATTCACTGCAGTGCCTTCAGGCACAACATATCGCATAGAGCTGGCATCTCCATGCTTCCAACAACAAATGCCACCATTATAGCTGCAGCTGCTGCCATAGATGTCACCTTCGTGCTGCCTCAAATAGATGCACGGAAAATTAAACACTTCTCGCCCTGAAGCTTCAACACTAGCGCCCCAATCTGGCGACCAATGCTGGAGGCGACGCCTCTTCGGTCGAAAAGTGTCTGGACTTTGGATTCCCTTTCGGACGCGCAATGCTGCAGCAACTTCTCGATGCAAGTCATCACCACTGGGACCGGAGAGAGCGAAGCGTCCAAGTCGTAGCAGATTCTCAAAAGAAATTGATTGGAAATCCACATGTTGCAGCAGCGTGCCCAGAAACGCATGCCTGTCCTTGGAGATACTGAGCCAAGTAAAGATGCCCTTGAACACGGCTTCCTCACGGGAAACACCCAAATCCTCTCTCTTCAAAATTCGGGCTAACTGACTGGCACTGAGCTTCACAAAATCTGGATTCTGGCTGCACGTCTCAAAGTTCTCAGCAACCTTCTCTTCGCACGAATCCTTCAAAGCGTGGAGGCCATGCACTTCCTGCAAGACTTGCAGAGCAGTAGTGCTGTCCAAAGAGGCATTGATACCTGCCTCAATAGCCACTGCGAACTTTGGCAAATCATAAGCCTCCGCCAGCCGTAAGAGTTCCAGTGCAGTTTCCAGTGGCACTTCAGGCTGCCCATCATAGATGTAGTCCAGAAAGGCAGACACAGCTGCTTTAGATGCAGCAATTTCCACTGGCTCTCCTCGTTGCACCTGGTCTGCTTCCAGAAATGATCCACCCAGCAGATTCAGGAAATACGTGCTGGCGGCAGATAGCACATTGGTATGGGCGCGATGCTCTGTGCCATCACGGCTCTTCAGGACAACATCACAAAGCCGGTCTTCCATCCAGAATTTACGCAACTTTTGCATGATGCCTGCCCGATGCTGGGCCACATCTAATTGTCCAACTTTGACAACTCCCATGGCGAAAATTCACGGCAAAATGTGGGAGGTGCGAGCACTTGCTGCTGGGTCCTCTTCATTCATAGGTATCCCATGGAGACCCACTGAGTGCCTATGTGAGCAGGTCACAGGTTTTTGAATGGTTCTGCCGCTTATGGTGCAATTTAAATGGATTCCAACCTGTGAAGTCCTGCAATCGCTGAAACATGTTTGGGATGACCATCGGTTTTCATGGTTGAGAAAACCACGATGGATATGCCTGTCAAATTCCATTGGGTTTGTTTGGCTACAGTTGCCCCCTAACTGGTTCAGAAAAACACATGAAAAACTTGTCTACCTCGTTGAGAACAGTATCTACCTTCATGACATCTTCATATTAAACCTGGTTCACCACTGCTTCTGGGCCCACGCAAAAATCGGCAATGGGCGGCAGAGGATCCAATGGGAGGTTTCAACCCAACATGTTCAAACCCCTCAAGTTCCTCCAGCCTTGGAAAGGTTAATCCCCTACCCCCAACATTGAACACTGCCCCCAAATGAGATCCAGTGCTCAACCAGGGTTTAGGATTTAGGTGCGATGGATTCATCAAAATACGATGGTTCAATCATTCAATCTTCTTAGCAAGGATGGAACAGAAAAATCGGTGAAACCACCAAATCCACAAAGCAGGTGGGATACCCATCGGCTTTCACAATATACATGTGCCCACAAACGAACTCTGGGGAGTGAAAGGGGCCAAAGTTGGTGGCAGGAGTACCATGTCAATCGGGCCCTGATAGCCGGTAGCCCGAGAACCAAAAAAATTGCCCAAAAATCGGTTTTCATCAACCACAGCAACCCAACTTTAGTTAGGCATGTTTGTCCCCATTTGTCAAGTCAAAGTCGCCATGTTGGTTAAGTCATGTTAAACCAAAACAGACCTGCAAGGCCTGCAAGGTCTCTAAGGTGAAGGTACACATGGTACACCACCAAACGCGGCGAAGGCTCCACTTGCCACCTTCTGCTTGGCCCGCCATAGTGCCATGTACCTGGGGATCGACGGAATGGTGTTGCCACGGTCCGGACCGTGGAGTCCCAAGTCCCAACTTTGCTCATGCCCAAATTTTCTAGTTGCTGCTAGTGACTGCTGGGTTTGTATTATATGATGAGGTATGTTTGCCGAACATCTACACTGTCTGGTGGCAGACTTAACAATACATCAGTCTACACTTTCTGTATGACACTCGCGCATTCTGGAGGCAAGATCGCCAGGATGGAGCAGTGCGAACCGTGGGTCACCAAGTTCTATGCCCCGCTCCCAGGAGAACTTACCACATGGTTTGTAGGCCAAAAACTATAAAACGCATCCCCTACTCCCATGGTCAGAACACATGAAAACGTCACTTTACTCATCAACATTGCCACCAATTCAATGATAATACCCAGTTATTAAACTCATGTATATATATATATATAATTATATGTATATATGGTGATTGCTTCGGCTGATTACACATGTAATCATGTTGGCTATCCACTGCTTCGCCCACCTCTGAAGATCGTTCTTTGTACCCATCATAACTGTCATAACCTGTCTCTCTACAGGTCCAAAAACCATCTCAGACTGTATTTGGGGTTAGCCTTGGGGGTCCAAACACCTTCTGGAAAGGTATTTGCAGCACTAGGGTGTAGATAAACAGATAGATAGATAGATAGATAGATAGATCGATAGATAGATAGATAGATAGATAGATAAATAGATATATACTGTAGATAAATAGGTAGATAGATAAATAGATCGATCAATAGATAGATAGATCGATCGATAGATCGATCGATCAATCGATAGATAGATAAGATTAGATAAGATTAGATAAGATTAGATCAGATTAGATCAGATTAGATCAGATTAGATGGATAGACAGACAGACAAACAAATAGATAGATCAATAGATAGATAAGATAGGATAGGATAGGATAAGATAAGATGAGATGAGATAAGATAAGATTAGATTTAGATAGATAGATCGATTTATAAATACATATATAGAAAAGATAGATAAAGAAATAAATGTAAAACCAGGTACAACATGCATATAATTACACATAATACGAACAGAAATGCAATACATATTCCCTGCATCGCAATGGATTTTTCATCGACTCAGCAGACCAAGGTCATCACCATCATGGGTACGGTACCATGATGGAGGTTTTACCCTCTGGTAAACATACAAAAAGCTATTGAAAATGGTGATTTATAGTGGATTTACCCATTGAAAATCGTGATTTTCCGTTATGTAAACGTTTACCAGAGGTAAATGGCCATGTCAGGAACCTAAATTGGAGGGAATATCCCAGCAAAATATGGCCTGAAAAATGGTACGTTTACGTACCTCAATTTTAGGATCCTGGAATTCCCATTGACATGATGGAGGTTTTAAATAGTTTTATGGCAATGGGACATGATAATTGCCATTTTATCAATATCTTTTGATGATGTCCATTGTCATCAAGTTACAAAGATGACACCGGGAAATGTCGTATAAATCCGAACAAATAGTTATACTCATACAAATAGAGACTTAGAAACAGGTACCTATATAATACAAGAACACTTATGCAAATTATACATTGCGCTAATATACAATAGACATATAGAAACACAAATAATTCTAGACAAGAACATCTTCATCAATATATATATACATGAGTTTATATCTATTTACAATTACATATGCTACAATACATGAATGTAATTTATTCATATATATATATGTAAATATTGTTATCTACTATATTTAAATGATAAAATCGTTCATCATCGCAACTTTTCCCATCCCTTCCTCCCAACGTTCCACTCTCGTCGCCGTGCCTGGTCCACACCTGAGATCGCCTTCAAGTGCGCCCGCGCGCCGACGCCGGCCAAGCTCTTACTGAGGCCCCCTGGCCGGTGCTATCGGCCAGTGCCGTCCAACGGTCCAACGTGACACGTTTGTTGGGTGCTGAAAAAAAACACCAGGGGAAAGCCTACTTAGATGGGCCATGGGATTAGCTAAATGGTTACTAATCGGGGATATAACCCCCTATATCCCAATTATAATCCCAGGTTGGGATGAGGAATTAATTGACATACCCCTGGTGATAAACTATGGCATAGTTTTAATTATGAATCACCAGGGCTTATCCTACACTATGGCCTAATGGCATAATTAATCATAATTAAAGTTTTTAGGAATAACTATGGCACACTGTGATCTTGCTAGTTGGGGTTGTTGTTTTGAGATTGTCCTTTTAGGACACATATATAGAGAGCCGATTTGGGATACAACTCGTATTCATTCTGATTTGATATGATTTACCGATTGGTAGTGGAATCGGGGGACCCATCTATGTCATCTATTTATCAATACTGTGAGATAGATAATCATAGATAATCATAGATGGGATAATCAGTATATGGGCGCGAAATTAAGTTGGCATTTTTTTTTGGGGTGCATTTTTTTTTTGGGTCGTCCAGGCTCCCTTCCTTGGTTTTTGCAGCTAACATCTCTCATTTGCTGCATTTTGTAGCTAAAATCTCTCATTCGCACTGTTTTCCATGGTGCTTATCGAGTTTTCCATGGTTTTCATTGATTTTTCCATGATTTTCATGGAATTTTCCAAGATGTTCATGGATTTTTCCATGGTTTTCGTCATTTTTTCCATAGTATTCTTCAATTTTTCCATGGTTTTCTTCAATTGCTCTATGATCTTCTTCGATTGTTCCGTGGTTTTCCATTTGTCAATGGAGTTTTCTATGTATTTCTTCAATTTTTGTATGGTGTTCATACATTGTTTACTGGTTTTCATTCATTGTTCCGAAGTTTTCATTGATTTTTACATTGTTTTCACTGTTTTTTTTTCCGAAGTGTTCATTGATTTTTGGAGATACATGATGTGCAAACTATAAACTGTAGATGTATATAGGTATACATGCATGACTAATCATGACTATATGCATATGTAGATCAATGTATTTACAAGTGTAATTAATATATCTGCAGGGTTTAGTTCGGGTTGGTTGATGGTTTATTCTAGATTTGTTTAAGGTCTATTTAGGGTTGGTTTTAAGGTTTCTTTAGGGCTGGTTTAGGGTCTGTTTAGGGTTGGATTAGGGGTTATTTAGGGATACAACATGTACATACAAATAACTATACTTATGTGGACGCATATGCATGCACATGGTTATTTATAAATTGCTAAAGGGTATCCCCATTCTCTTCCAATTAAATCACCATTGTTGCTGGCAAAATACAACAATATACCATGTAATCATCATTTTCCTTGGTGAAATCTCCATTGGAACTTTCTTTTCCCATGGGCCCGGGCCCCGGCCCGGCCCCCGCGGCCTGAGAAGGCTCTGAAGGTGGTACAGTCGTCTAAGGTGGCCTTGGAGAACTTGAAGAACTTATCCCAGCTATAAATGGATGAACTACAAGGTGGTGCCCCATAGTTAGCTAAGTTGGTTTATAACTCCAATAACTATGGTTTATGGTAGATATAACTATATATGAGCGATTGTGAAAACCCTAGGTTCACGGAAAAGACATCCACAAATTTGGGAAGGTCCCATCGCTTACCACACGTTTGTACAATAATGATATATGGTAAACTTGGGGGGTATCGCTAGCTGCTGCATTTATATATATATGTGATGAGCCATGAATAATATGTGATATTTGGGTATCGCTAATGTGGATATTAGAGAAATATGATGACATAACCTTGAAAAGGGGTATCGCTAATTTGGGAAGGTCCCATCGCTTACCTCAGGGTTTTAACAATTTCCATCAATTTCCATAAACCAATGTCCGTCGAATACATATTTAGTATTGCCGGGGTTTTTACGGTTGCTCATATAGTTTTCATGGGGTTTATAAACCAACTTATAACTGGGGGGCACCATCCTGTATCCCATATGCTCCATGTATGGAATATTTACTAACATTTGCCCGAACAAAATCACCCAAATGTAGGTATATAAATATGCCAGCACCATGGAGCATATGGGTATGTCAACCACTTTCCAGTCGTTGTGGTTCTTACAGTAATTTCCACTGGAGAACACGGTCAATCTTTGATACCCTCTGGTAATTTAACATAGCTATTGAAAATGGCCATTGATAGTGGATTTTCCCATTAAAAATGGTGATTTTCCAGTTCGCTATGTTAAATTACCAGAGGGTAGTTCAAGAAATAGTATCCTTTGCTGGTTGGCTGGTCAGTTTCCGTTGCAAACACCTAACGGATTTTTTCTGCCCGTACAAGGATGGGGATGTAACCATCGTATTATCATTATGAAACCATCAATGATGGTTATAATTTTATGCTATCATCATATGAAACCATATTATGAAACTTATTATCATTATGAAACCATATTATCATCATATTATCATGGTTATAATCATTATAGTTTTAGATGTTGCTTTGTGGAGTGTCATGACAAAGATGACCATGGGTAAACGGAGGTTTTCTGTTGAACACATGGTGGGTTTTCTGTTGAACTGTTCGACTACCAGAGGGTTCCCCCTCAAGAATCGATCACAAATAGGATAGGATAACACAAAATGTCAATTTAGCCACTAGAAAATATAGACATTCACTGGTAACATATAGGAATTTAGCCACTAAAGATGGCATTTGCACGGAGAAAGTGGACTATTCATACCAACAGTAACACGTTCATATGGTTCAATTTTTGGACCAGTGGCTACTTTCTTAAATATATAAACATCATCAAACATTGAAACAGCATAAAACTAAAACCACGCAATTGGCTGAAGATAAACGTTAAACCAGCAGCCACTGTGGGAACCACGAACAAGTGTCCTGCCGCAGGCATTGGCTGCTTTTTGCTGGTGTAATTTCAGATGTGTCGGAGACCGCGTCTTCAGGGTCCTCATCACCCTCTTTATCTTTGCGCACTTGACGCGTTTGTAACACACTTCCTGATCACCAGACGACGGGAGGATCAAGAATATGATTTCACTCCCGGTTTCTCCTGTCAACCCCAAAACGCTCTTGCCCTCAGTGAAAGTAATGTCTTGATCAAGCGTAATGAAGCATTCCATATCTATAAGCGCATTGTGACGACTCAACGGTTGGATTGTCTCGCTCCCAAGTGTTGTTTCCCAGGGCTTGACTCCAACTTCTGTGGGATCCAACAGTCTCCAAGCACTTAAAAGGGGGAAAGGACACCTTCCGAACATTGAAACAACAATGGAACTTCTTTCAGAAAAGGAGTGGAACCAACAAAAAAGACATGCATCATACTGCAAAACGTATATGAAGGTTTGACATTTAAGAGGACTATCTGCTTCATCTCATGAAGTATTGGTTATATTTCCTTGTGTATGGCAAGACATTCAAGCATTACATGGCATTGCATATTAGTAAAACCGCGGGCTCATCCTCAAGTTTCCCCGCTTCGCATTTCATTCATTTTCATTCTGGCTGATTTTTGGTAATTCACGAGATATCCTGAAAATAGCTTAAATAAAGCAATTTGGGGAATGAATGATTCTCTCTAATACTGTGACTGTGATTCCAGTGACGTCACGACGTGAGGTTATGATCTTAAATTCATCCAGATTTCATCTCCTCCGTGAAGAAGCCACTTCTTTGGTACCCATGAATGGACCCCTTGGACGTGCTCAGCCAACCAGTCAACAACAAGCAGTCAGCCACTGGATCCAAATCCAAGAATCCAGTGGTGTATCATCACACTACCAATCTGAGATACCCTGCAAAAAATGACACATTCTTTGCTGGTGAACGTAGATATTCCCATTAATACCAACAGATTAACCTAGATCAAAGTATCCATGTAAGATTGACCTAGATCATTTTCCCTATGAAACTGCCTTTGATTGGAGGATACTCTCCAAAAATCAAACGTGGCAATGTAAAGCCCGTTATTTGTAGATCATTTTCCAATTAAAACTCCACTTTTTATAATTTTGGTTACCAAAGGGCATACCGCATCTTTGGACAAAAACCCAAATGGATACCCAGTGACGCAGCGCGGGTCAAAGGAGACGCGCAATTTGGAGGCATTGGGTAGGTAGATGTCCTTGGGATGCAATCTGGATGGTCGTGAATGCCCATTCCACTCAATGTGAAACCTGTTTTTTTTGTTACCCTCTGGTTATGGCTAACCTAGCCATGGAAAATGGCATAAAATAGCCCATAGAAATAAATGGTTTACGGAACTTAAAAATGCTGATTTTCCATGGCTATGTTAAATAACCAGATGGTAAATCAGCCTGGTCGACTTCAAATTCCAAGCGCTAATTTACTCTAATTAATTCCTCAAAAATGTGCCAGAATGTTCTATTCTGAATGGTACCCAAATCAACAGCCCACAAGTTTGTCAGGCCTTGACATTCACATGCTGCGAATGTGTGGATGCAATGTGTGGACTTCTGATGAGGAACTGCAGCAGGGTGAGGCCCAGGATTCACTGGCAAAGGCAGGGCTTGGAACTGGGACTTCTCAGATATGTGTCTTGCAAATGTTAGTGAAAGCACGATGAAATCATATGACATCCATGATTTTTCACCGCGAACCGGCCCGTTTACTCAATTCCATTGGTGGTTTCATCTGAGATTTTTACCGGAGAGCTGCGTGCTGGGCAGGTGGTACAACCGGAATAATGTTTGTAAAGCAATAGAAAACCATCCCCAAATTCAAGTTTATTTGCAGCAAACCATCATCTCTTTCCCTCAATATCAAAGATATCTATCTGAGTCTATCAGTCCCACCTCTTGCACAACCCTCCATTGTTTGGCGATTGTTCGGGTTGATCTTTTGCTTCCTCCATTTTGAATCTGTGAGTGGCACAAACATCCAAAACATAAAACGCGTTCGGGTTTCACTATCCCTAAAAATCTGATCCTCGAAACTAATTTTCCGTCCAACATGGTCATCGCGTGTTTTTCCGGTGCAAGCCATAAAAAAATCATCGCCCCGCAGCTTGACACCGTCACCGACCCAGCTGCACACCCTGCAATAGCCGGGACGCTTTGGTCCAGGAATGAGTCTTCGCAGGATAGGGATGAGGCGATTCGACCACCTGCAGGTCCTTTAACTTCTTTCCTGGCTGGATGCTGATTTTTGCCATGGAATGCCATGGGGACAAAGTTCAAAGTGGGAAAACTCATAATTAACAAAACATAATATGGTGGGGCCAACGATACAACTTGTTACTAAAAAACCTTGTAACATATTGATATATTATACTATATTATGATATATTGTAACAATACGATTTGGGGGTTGATAAGTTCATTGCAAGGTAGTACCCACAAGGGTCCCTATCCATAAAGTCATTTGAAGATCTTGTGGATCTTGATCAGGCCAATGGGCCAATAGGGATTCTAAACCAACAAACACCACTGGCCGCTGGCCATCTCAGGAACCGATTGATTGGAGGTACCGATTCCATATATGTTTGGCCTATTGTTCAGGCCTAAATTTCAGGGAATATCCCCAGAAAATATGGCCCAAAATATGGTACAGTAACATTGACCACTGGATGTCAAAGGATCATGGCCAAAATCAAGCCACGCAGTCAAGGACAAGAACTTCGCAGGAGAAGGTACCACTTCCGGTAGGTTGTGTCCATTTCCCACCAAAAAACTGGTTAGAGTTTGGCATCTAAACATGATACTGCTGGCCCGATGAATGCCGATGAATAACATGTCACTTGCTTCACCGGCAATCCCGGTTATCCCAGTTTCCTGAAAACTCACCTCTGTAAAAGTTCCACCATTGCCAAAACATCGACCAATTCTGGGTAGCAATTCTTTTTCAGGTGGCCATCAGGGCCCCTCGCCTGCCAGAATCTCTTCGTGTTTCTTCTTCACCTCGGCAATGCTATTGATAAAATAATGGGATTGGAAGAACTTCTCGTGGGTGTTTTCCAAGAATCCAGCCTTCTCACAACATGTTCTGCACAAGGTGGTGGTGGCGGCGCCCAAGTTATACGATGGTTTATAATTAACTACAGTTAAGTTTAAGTCTAATGGTAATATTATGTCAAGTTGCGTATGTATATATATAATTATTGGGTTCATATATTGGGTTTAGCGCATTACCTTCTGGTAATGTCACAGTTTGCTAGGGAAAATGGGCCATAAAAGTAGGTGATTTCAATTATATAACAATTTTGATGTTAAACGGCAAACTGTTCAACTCTGAAAGTTCAGAGAGCATCCCAACTTTCATGATTATAGGGACTCCGAATGATGGCATCTCTCTTCCGATAAGCTTCCCATACAGAGTAGGGAGCCTGATTAAAATTGTCACCAATGAAACCTTGAGTACCGCTACAGGGTGGTGCCCCCCAGTTATATGTTGGTTTATAAACCCCATGAACACTATAGCTATATCTGCCATAAACCATCGTTAAACAAAGTTACAGTGAAACCATGTTAAACCACTTATAAAGCAACTTAGCTATCTTGGGGGCCCCCATCCGTGTAGACCCACATTGTCGTCATTCATCGTCCCCAGTGACGCATAGTGCCCAGAAATCCTCTGCAGTCATCTGCACCTTGTTCTCCTCAGACCGAAGAAGATTGATGGATTGACCATGGTAAAACCAAGGTTTCAATGGAGATATAGATAAGTATGATAGTATGACATTAACCTGCCATGGGATATGATTGATATGTGGGTTTGTCTGATGGTTTGCATACCATAGTATGCCCCAAGGTATAGTCATCAAATAGTAGAGAACACATTGTTTTCAAAGCATGGCGATCCACTCCAAAACATCGAAAGAGATATCTCCGTAGAAGATTGGATGGTTACCCTCTGGCAATTTAGCAGCATCTCTATGGGAAATCACACTTTTAAATTCGGTAAATCATGGTAAATCATCTATAAATTGGATTTTTTCAATCACAATTAGTTAAATCATGGCAAATCATAGAGTATAAACTGTCAATTTTCCAGCTCGCAAACTGTTAATCATTACCGCAGGATATGAGTTCTGGCGTGTTTTGAGAAAGGATTTACATGTGAGCAGTTTTTTCATAGTTTCAATGGGAATTTCAGGACCCTAAAATGGAGGTATCAGGTACCATTTCAGCCAGTTTGTTGGGAAATATCTCCCGGCATTGACATTTAGTCCTTACATAGGCCTTATATATTATAGATATTATAGATACCTCCAATTTAGGTGCCTGAAATGGGGCTTGACTTGATAATCTTGATAGTTTGGACTGATTATTTAAATCGGAGTTCCTTCAGAATGATTTTGTTGCTTCAATCATTGTGGGCATAATAATTTCTGCTCGAGAATTGATGCGTTCCTTCAAAAACAAATCCGAAACAAATACTGGCCATTACTGGTTTGTTGCCGCCTCATTGCATGGATAGGAAAGGCTGCCACCAACCAGTCTTTTTGAATCTTTTTGGTGATGTCTTGGTCATATCCCACCATGCTTTACTAGCCATATCTCCACGAAAATAAAGTCAGCCAACGCCAACTGTCGGGACAGAAAACTAACCACCCCACCATAAAGTCAATCAACCTATTTGGGAGGTCTTTTTGTACAGTTTTTTTGGGGGGGTTCAGTGTTTTAATATTATTATACTCTATCCTCTGGTTATTTAACATAGCCATGGTATAGATGGCCCATAGAAATAGATGGTTTACCATTCTTAAAAATGGGTGGATCTTTCCATGGCGAACTGTTAGTCATAACCAGAGGGTAAGTACTCTAGTTATGATTAGTTATGCAAAATGAAATTCGCGTCACATAGGGAGTAGCCTTGAACCACCTCGGAACCACCATGAAAGCAATGTGTTTCTGTCCTGTGGGAATTGGAGTGAATAAATATACAAATCCCCTTTTGCCACCAGCACTGGATACTTAGAATTTCAAACTTACAAAAACGCATTGCCTCCAACTGCTGCTCCGCTATCAGCACATGAAACACCAAAAAACTAACTCTCCTTTGCAACAAAAACACTCAAGTGCATTAAAGTACATTAAATATCATTAAATGACTTTGCATCTCAAATTCAAGCGCTAAACCTACACATTTCAAATCTTCTGAAACTCGAACTTGACAACACTTTTCATGAAGCTTATGCATTCGTTTCAATCAGGCAATTTGTTCGGCAAACCTAAACGGGTCACAACATAACAATTCTGTATGCGTTTTCAATATGGAAATTTGTTCAGCAATACTAAAAGGGGCACAACATGACGGGCAATTTCTTCGGCACGAAATGTCTGGTCCCCAAAAGATCCCAAGATCCTTGGTTACCCTGTGACACCAGATTTGCACAAAAATCCCTAGCATCCGATGTTTAACGCTGAAGCCCCGGTCTTTGTTCGATGGATCCCAAACTGATCCCATCCCATGCCGCGACGGGTGGCCCTTTGAAGCTTTGTCCACTCATCTTCGAAGCTGGTATCTGCACCGTGTCTCCCAACATTGCCCGAAACAAAAATGAAATCAACAGCAAGGGATCGAAATTCTGGGGTTCAAACATGGAACAATGACAAGTCCAATAGTTTGACGGGAAATTAAGGTCGGAAACCTGCATTTCTTTTGGGCCAACACCTAAACACGGCTTCCTGTTCATTTTCCCTTGTACCAGCTGTTGTACCGATATTCCTCATGGTTAAACCTATATATATGTATCCTAAATACCATTTATCAGGGTTCATAAGAAACCCATGTTCGAAACCCCTGAATCATCCAGAAATATGGACCATTTTCATTCATTTTCCAGTTCGCCAAAATACCGGATAGTAAAACATTATATTCCCATGTAAATCATCATTCCCGTTTTCGTCAAATCCGATATTTCATCCCATTAAAACAGCATACATCCCATTAAAACAGCATAAATCCCATAAAATTCCCATATAAAATCAAAAAAAAACATATAAACCCTATATAAATCCCATAAAAATCCCATATAAATCATATATATATATATATATCCTATATAAATCCTATATTCCATCCATTTCCATCCTATTAAAACCAGCATTGTTTCTTCGCCCAAATGCCCATTTTTCAGCTTCTTGCGCAGGTCGCAGAATCACACCTTCGTCGATGCGGAAGATGTCCATCTCAGAACCTGGACGCAGCGTGGCGCGCGCCGCGAAAGGCGTGGCGCTAAGCGGAAGGCGTGGCGTGGCCGTTGGAGGAAACATGTATAGGTATAACCATCAAAACATTACAGATATTATAATGCTATTGTAATATAGAAATATAACCTATGGTTTTATAGGTATATACCATGTCAAGATTTATGTTGATATCATAAAAAAAAAGGTATAACAATCTAAAACTGTCAAGATTATCGAAATGATCAAGTCAAACCCCATTTCAGGTACCTAAATTGGAGGTACCTACCATATGTGAGGCCTATGTAAGGGAATATCCTCACAAAATTTGGCCTTATATGGTACACTACCTCCATTTTTGGATCCTGAAATTCCCATTGATATATATATATATATGTATAACTTATAAACATCAACAAGTACAGATATTATAGGCTAGGAATAACTAAGAATGCATATAATAAGCATCCAAAAAATCACAGGTTGACATAATTGTAATAATATGGCATAACCATCAAACATTATCATCCAATTATAGTTCCATTTAGGGTATAACCGAAGAATGCAATCACCAGGTCGCCAGGTGTCCTTGGGGAAAGCCCTGCGTTGAATAAAATTGGGATATGTGTTTCCGCTTCATGCATCTATCATAAACATCATATAACTATCTAATAAATATAAAGGGATATAGTTGCAATATGACGACCCAGCTGACATAAAGCCACATATCTTAAGCATTGATGACACAACTAGGTGACATAGAGACTTCAGCTTGCCGATTTCAACCTATCATAAATATATATATATATATGTTGTATTCTCTACAGATGTAAGGACACGTTTGCCACCAGATTGTTTCTATCCGTGCGCGAAACCCACGGTGTGACAAGGTGAATTCCCAGGCAATTTCTTGCGCCCAGAAACTTCCAGCAGATTTCTTGCCAAGAGCCTGGCAAATGTGATCCTGAAGATATCTGCAGAGGCAGCCCGAAATCTGGAGGTGTCGTGTTCAATTCGGAGTAATCTAATCATGAGTAGTAATATATATATATGTAAAATTATATGTAAAAACTATTTCTTAATGGTCAAATCAGCTGCTGATGTGTTATTTGTGGGGCAAAGTCAAACGCACCCTGCTCTCGGTAATGGAACGTACAACGCCAAAGATTGCACTGCCCAAGTGCTGAAAATGGTGAGATTTTGGTAAAACCACCATTAAAACCAAATATGTTCTAATTTTAACCCATTGATATATCCGTTAAACACTTGATGGTTTCAAGGATTGGATTTAATCCAAAGATCAATAATCGTTAATACTTGACTCCATATAATCCATATACATGGTAGTTAAAGCATGTTCAAGCGCCAGCCATTCTAAAACCTAGAGATTTGGAGCAAACCACCATTGTTCTCGATGTTTTCTGGCAGTTAAACTACCCTCTAATCAGAAGAAAAAAACTATACATGGATATCAAGAATGCAGGTTTAACCACCAAAAATATGGTACCAAAGCTCCAATTTCCTCGAACGGACCGCAATTCTCATTAGAAACAGAAAACCAAAATAGTCGTAAATGGAGATGTTTTGCAATAAATGGCAACAAACCACCATTTTTTCATCCATGTTTTGGTACTTCAAAGCACCACTTCCTGCGTCCGTCCTGGACCTCGCTACTGATCTTGGCATCAGCACAGGCCGTCTTGAAGAGGGACACGGGCCTCGGTTTCCCCTGAAAAAACTAAGGGTTCTACAATATGCCGCCCCCCAGTTAGATGGTTTATAAGCCCCATTATATAACTATAGTTATAGGCACCATAAACCATAGTTATTGGAGTTATTTGCACCAACTTAGCTATCGTTTGGGGGTCCCACTTTCTACGGGGATATGGTCAAAATGGAGGATATTTCACCAGGAACGAGAATACTTTGGAAATGGGTCATTTCTAGTCTAGTGGGAAAGAAATGTTGATGCCCCAGAATAAGTGCTCAACTCCAGTTTTTTCCGTGATTTATCCCCCCCTATCCCCCCCTCTCTGTCATTTTTTGAGGCCAGACCACAGAACAACTTTTTACTAAGATCTTCGCTGCATCTCACTGCAATTACCGATTTGGATGAGACATGTTGTGACATGTGTTCCTCCTTTTTATGGCTATGACTCAAGAAATCAGCATATCATGATATCATGCAAATACAATTGCGGTTTGCAGAGAAATTATAGCTGATAGCTGCTGACATCACGCTGTCGTTGATCCGGATATGCATCTGGCCAGTGACAGTTTTGGATTGCCATGAGGAAAACTGTTGAGTCGGTCTGTGAAGACGTGAGGAAAACGTGTGCTGCAGAAGCCCTCAGGTAGCTGACGCTACCATGACTTGCATTGCATGCAAAGATGGACACTCTGAGACTCATAGGCCATAGGTGGGGTATGACCCTATTATATGAAACATAGTTATATGGCAAAGACCAATAAAATCGATGTCACTGCCGCACACCCACTGACCGCGTACATAAGTTCCGCCTATATGATTTTTATCTGGCTGAACATGGACTTAAGCATTTCAGTCTGGATGGATTGCAATGACTCACTAGCCTGGTGTTTTTAGGCCATTTTGGAAAAATCATCCTTACTAACTATTACTTAACTTACTTTTGTGATAATTTACCGACAATCATTGTTATCAAACCTGCCCATATCCATTGATATTCATCAAAATCATTCAATATATAATATTGAGTCAATATTAAAACACTCATCCTGACAATATCCATTGATTTTAATATTGATTGGATATGTTATTCAAAATCAATCATAACCATGAATATCCTATCAATATTAAAACTCACATCCTGTCAATATCCGTGAAATCTCACAATAACAATCCATTCAGTTTTGACATCCCATTCTAACAATCCAGAATAATCAGACCTTATTGGGATGTTAATTGAATGGGATGATTATGAGAATAATCAATTAATCATCCTTATTGGGATGTTATAGTGGGATTATCCACTATATACATTACTATCCCATTGTCCCATTGAACCTCTTCCGTATTTAGCGCCACTCCCCTGCAGTTGCCACGCCACATGCGTCCCCTTTTCGTGGACGGCACGGACCACTGGTGTCGCGGAGGTTCGAAGCTGTTCTTCACCGGAGGAGCGTCGGCGAGCCACAACTCTGGCGCGTCCTCGTCCGCAGTGGCAACAAAAACGGTGGATTATGAGGGGTTAGTTGTGATTTTCCGGTAAAATGGTTGTATTTATACTTGGTTAGAATATGCTTATATAGCATCTGGTAATTTTTAAACATAGCTATTGAAAATGGCCCATTTATAGTTGATTTACCTATAAAATATTTTGAATTTCCATAGTTATGGTAGTTTACCAGAGGGTAAGCATCATCGAACTACCATCCTGGAGGGGGTACTGTAGTGTTTTTTAGAACCAGATTCTAGCCGAGGAACATGAATTTCAACCATCAGCCATAGGGGGTTTAACGATCAAACATCTGGATATCTAATGGGAACCTAATGGGATATCTAATCAACAATATGATAGTTGGGTGTGTAAATGGGGCAATTGACCCCCCAAAGTTATTGTATCTTTTATTCCCGCCAAATTTTTGGGCACCTTATTTCAAACAAATCCATGTGGATTTCCCACGTAGGCGTGTATAACTGGGTTTATAATTACAAGTACCTACAAATCTACAAGTGTTTATGGTTACATCCATGGTTATCATGATTAATGGGATCTATAACCAACTTGCAACTGCAGGATGTAAAGGATCGGCGGAGCATTCTGGTTTCCACACGGGATGAACCTCCATATGGTTGATACCTATAAGGAGCTAGGTACCAGCAAGCTACAAGTTTGCTTATTGCCAAACTGACTCTATTTATCATCACCATAGTCACGCTAGTGAAGCTAGGTTTTATACAAACTTCGCCATGGGGTGCCACCTGGCAACCCCCTATTGATTAAAAACAACATAACACTGATAAATAATAATGTCTGGGTAACTTATAATATTTCACTAACCTGAAATAAGGCTATTTGGGGATGATTTCCCTTACTAACAATGATTACAGGTTTCGGTCGCAGGGTTTGGTCGTGATGAAATTTACCCAAATAATATATAACAATGATAAACATCAATGGTGTTTATCATTGTTAAATATACATTGGTAATATATAATGGTGTTTACCATTGAGACCAACCAGTAATATATACCCTCTGGTAAACAAACATACCTATTGAAAATGGCCCTTTAATTATAGTGGATTTACCCATTCAACATTGTGGATCTTTCCATTGTTATGTTAGTATGTTTACCGGAGGGTATCCCCCTATGACCTATGAAATAATGATAAACACCACCAGTAATATATAATAATATACAATAAACACCAGCTATATATATACATTAATGGTAATGTTATATATACACCAGTTATAAATAATGATAAACACCAATGCTCTCAATCTGGGGTTCCAGTTTTTTTTTCGGAAAATCTCGGTAGGATGGGATTGATTTTTACCCCACCGATCAACCCCTGGTATCTGCAACCTGACTGGGGGTAAAGCCATGGTTGAATCAACCAGCCATGACTGGGAATGGTAAGTTTATAGCACCTATAAACAAATCTGATGACTGGGGGATGGTGCAAATGGCATTGTTTTACCAACAATTAATTACACATGTATTTTGGGTGCCTTCCCCATTTTTTCACATTCATGGTGCTGGTAAATTGGCCCCGACGCCACCATGCATGGCTAAACTTTGATGATAAACCATCCAAAAATCACCATAAATTGCTGGTATGATTACCATCCCCAAATGGTAGGTTTATTATTGGGGAGCTTCTCCTCCCCAAGCCATGTTCGCCACGTCTCCTGATGAATAATTTTCCATTTCTCCGCATCGGCATCGAAGAGGATCTGGTGACAATTGCCGTCCTCCCACGAATCGTGTGACTTTAGGTGGGATTGGTTTCGGGGAAACTGGCAAATGGAAATGCGTTTTGTTGGAGAAAGCGGATGGTGAAGCATTACTTTGAAAGTCTTTGTTGATGGAAGTTACTGTTGATGAAGTTGTTGATAGTGGGAAGTACAGCAATTGTTCATGTTTTTCCTGTCTTGTGAATGAAGGAGGTAGTTAGGGAAGAGTACATTATCAATCCGACTAAAATGGGCATGTAACTTAGGCCACAATGCATATGTACATAAACATCCTATCCATTATGTCCGTCAGATCCAATCGGATTCCCTTGTACACTACTCACGATCCAGTTTTGTCGATTTCAAGTGACACAAACCTACATGCTTTGGTGCGCGGACATCCTGCAAGCCTTGTCGTTTCTAGGTTTTGGAAGAATTCCACATCGTTGTTTTTGGAGTACCATGTCAAAACATATCTCATGAAATTTTACAAAGTACTAAAACCAGTTGAAATGTCCATGGGTTGTCCTTTCCAGGGCCTGAAGTAATGGCCATAAAGACCATGCATTAGAGTTATTACTTAATATTAATTAATATTACAGATAAGGCCCAGTAATGTTCAAAAGTGTTCTGCCGAAATCCTGGAAAACAGCTGCTGTCAGCTACATTTAAAAATGCCAAATTCCTGCGCCTGGGATGTGTTTGGGGCACCCCAAGCAGGTACTGCCATGATCAACAAGGTCTATGGGGCCATATGGAGCCCCTGGTCATCCCACTATTTGGAATCCTTGTTCTTGGGCATTTGAGAAAACATATGAACAGAACATATATGAACATATATGAACATATATGAACATAAATGAACATATATGAACATAAACATATCTGAACATACATGAACATATATGAACAGAAATGAACATATATATGAACATATATGAACATATATGAACATAAATGAACATAAATGAACATATATGAACATATATGAACATATATGAACATAAATGAACATATATGAACATATATGAACATATATGGACATATATATATACATGAACGTATATGAAAATGGATCGATACCCACCCACGGACGTGAGTGAATCTAAGATAAACAGCGTCCTGCTGCTTGTACCATGCCTGAGGCCCGGTGCAGTTGGATACCCTCTGCAGATGGCACCCCAGGTCGACGTTGGTTTAAAGCACTAAGTATAATTATAGCTATAATTAGCAGATTAGCTATATGTATAATATAACACACACATATAATATATATATATATACATATATATATATATGTAACACATATATTTATATATACATATACGAATGATATTCCTCTAATCAACCCTAGAGACATTGGATTTATTTTCAACCACTTTGCTAACTAGGCCACCACCTTATGGTAACTTGTCTCTTCCGGAAGATCACTGGCAAATCATAGAAGTTTTACTGGGCGGCTTCTAGTTCACCCAAGAAAATTACCAGAGGCTTGGGGTTTCCTAAAATGGGTGGATGCCCAAGTCACCATGGGTTTCCATATCTAAAAATACCCCCTGGTAATTTAACATAGCTATTGAACATTGCCATAGAAATAGTGGATTTACCCATTGAAAATGGTGATTTTCCAGTTCGCTATGTTAAATTACCAAAGGGTACCTAAAATGGCCTGATGACTTGGATTATTGTTGGATGATTTGGGGTGTCCCTATGACTTAGGACACCTGCATTCACCTGAAAAGTGAGGCGATTTCGGGGGATCCGCGATCTATCGAGCCTGGATTGGAATAATGAAGCCTTTACAAAGTGGTGCCCCCGCCTTGTAACCCACCTGGTAATTTATAACATAACTATGGACATGATCAATGTTTCAGAGGTAAATCATCGAACTAACTGCGCTAGTTTCCATAGCCATGTTTAATCACCAAAAGATAGAACTTCTTTTCAAACTCATCCAACTGACTATGGATATATCATCATATGTCCACCACAAGCATCCAAAAACCAGTTGTAAGTCACTCAGCTAAGGAAATGGGTCACCACCTCATATAATCTCCGATCTGTTTACTGCTGCTTTGAAGATCTTTGAAGTCTCAAAAGTTCTTGGAAACCTCAAAATTTTCTAAGACTATACAGTATATATCTGGGATTTGCTTAAGCTGGCGATTAAAGAGACAAACGCCATTCCCTGGTCCATCACGGATTTCGGATTGAGAAAACAACAAAATCATCAACTAAGCAAATCTAAGAAAATAATATCTGTACCCTCTAGCAATAATAATATGAGAATCAACTCAAACTGTCATTTTAAATAGTTTTACGGCATAGCTACAAAATAATTTTCCAGGGGTATGAATTACTTGTTGACATTTCCTGGCGATGTTCCTTTTGAGCTCCCGCCAAAACTATTCTAGTTTTCATCAAACGCCTGGTGAATCTGTGAGCCCCGGTCATGAAAAATCCCACAGGCATTGCCTTCCCGTTCTTCGCGCCAACGCGGTCGTAGGTGCCTCGGATGGTGAGGGCCTGGACATATTTTGATGGGTCCGAAAATGGTGGGAATTACCAATAAAACGGCCGTGTCAAGGGGAATATATATATATATGTATTATATATATATATATACCTGATGTACTTCCAAAAATTGCCTCTTTTCTATGGGAAGATATGGGAATATATGGGAATATATGGGGTATACACTACTATCACTACTATTGAATTGCAATTTAATAGGGAATAATAATGATAAACTAAGCAAACACAACAAGGAGACAATCAAAACCACAAACTTTTGCCCAAAGCTGTGGCACTTTTCGACACCCCAAAAAAGATAAACAAAATTGTAAAAAATGCGCTTACAACTCTGCACTTGGATTTTAATCATGTCGATCCTCCTCTTTTTGTGGATCAGAATGCGTACATCCCACACCAAAAAAAACAGTTCAATATATAACTAATATATAACTTATGCAGTATTTCAATTCTTTTGGGTCTTATATGATCTGGTCACAATGGTTACCCACTAATGTGGTTAAAACAATAAATTAAACCATCTCCAATCATCACCATTTTTCTAGGTGATATCTTTACCATTGCCAAATGGGTCGTTTATGACATTGTTTTAACCACATTAGTGACTAAATAACGGGATAATTCCTCCATTTATAGTGTATTTTCCCATATTTTCCTATGATTTTCCTATGGTAAAGTCCAAATTTGTTGATTTTTTTTGGGGTACCGAAGTGGATCTTATGTTTTTTTTTGATCTTGGGCCAAACCGAAAAGCCGAAAGGAATTCCGGCCAGGTACCGTCGGCGCTTCCCAGGCCGTCCACGCAAATGGCCCAGGTGCGGTCCTGAAAACATCTGATGGTCCACTGAGTGACCTAGATTAGATGACTTATATCAAAAAAATGTCATAAAAGGTGGTTTATAATGGAAAATCTAATCTAATGGTGGTTTATTTTTTTGATTAGATACCTATATGGTGGTTTCCATAAATGGGGGTATCCCAAAACGGGTGGTTTAAAATGGAAAATCCAATTTTTCAATGGATGATTTAGGGGTACCCCCATTAAGGAAACCTCCACATACATCTAGTAATATTAAATATTAATATGTAACATCTATATAATGATGGTGCATTATATTTAGACAGAGATGCATTATATTATACATCTAGTGATCGTAAATGATCTTAAATTTGTATTATCTATAATGGATGATTTGGGGGTACCCCTCATTTTAGGAAACCTCCATATATATAATGAAACCTCCATTTTAGGAAACCTCATTAAAGAATATGGATTCATATGGAAATGGTCTATATACATACAATCATGGCATTTACCGGGGGGGTTCTGGGATATCACGGGATGATCATGGAGAACGGGATGATTAATGGGAATAACATAGGACATAGGATATGAATGGAATATTCATGGGAAAATTATTGGGATATCTATCTATCTATCTATCTGTCTATCTGCCTATCTATCTATCTACCTATCTATCTATCTATCTACCTATCTATCTACCTATCTATTTATCTATCTATCTATCTATCTATCTATCTGTCTATCTGCCTATCTATCTATCTACCTATCTATCTACCTATCTATTTATCTATCTATCTATCTGTCTATCTGCCTATCTATCTATCTACCTATCTATCTATCTATTTATCTATCTATCTATCTATCTGTCTATCTGCCTATCTATCTATCTATCTACCTATCTATCTATCTATCTATTTATCTATCTATCTATCTACCTATCTATCTACCTATCTATTTATCTATCTATCTATCTATCTGTCTGTCTATCTGCCTATCTATCTATCTATCTACCTATCTATCTATCTATCTATTTATCTATCTATCTATCTATCTATCTATCCATCTATCTATTTATCTATCTATCTATCTACCTATCTATTTATCTATCTATCTATCTATCTATCTATCTATGATTCTATCTATCTGTCTATCTATCTATCTATCTATCTATTTATCTATCTATCTATCTATCTACCTATCTATCTACCTATCTATTTATCTATCTATCTATCTATCTATCTATGATTCTATCTATCTGTCTATGTAAATATGAATATATATATATATATATACAGTATATAGATATATACCCATGACACAGTTATTATATAGCCATTATACTTAGATGGAGCACGGAACTCATGAAAACGAGTTATTCTGGAGGATTCTGGAAGATTATGGGGATACAATAGGATTTCACGGGATGATTTGATGTCATTTATTGGGGATATCAATTTCTGTCAATTAACATCTCTGGCGCGTCCTAACCGCACAAGGGGCAATTAATGGGAGGTTATGCGGGGTTCTGCGGGATGATGGGAGATTGTCAGGGTATGATGGCCCTATATATAAATGGATCTTGGAATTTTTATGGGAAAATCAACGAACATCATCTACAAATGGTGAATTTCCATTGCCATCTTTTGATCACCAGAGGGATACAATGGGATGATTCTGGAATGTAGCAACCCCCCCAAAAAAATGAAGACAAATACCTCGGGAAGCTGGAAAACATGAGGCAAACATCATCGAAGTACCATCCTGGAAACACTTTTCGATCTTTTTTGGGGTAACTAAAAAATAGTCATTTCTACCAATAACATTAATCTGTCCTATAGAAATTGTCAGTTTCACCTCCAAAAATGGAAATTGATATCGTGGTAAGACTGATATGTGACGTCTATATTAGCTACATGCCTCATGCCACTATCGTTTAGGTTTTGGCATCTGAAACCATCCATAGTATGGGGGTATTATATTTTCAGAATCATGGGAATATCAGGGGATACATATAGGTACCCTCTGGTAATTTAACATAGCTATTGAAAATGGCCATAGAAATAGTTGCTAAAAACTGTAACTTTCACTAGTTTCACTAGTTACCCTTAGTTTAGCAGAGGGTAATGCGGTTCTAGAGTAGAAATGGGAGCCCTTCGATCAGCTCAAGGACGCTCCTCTGGTTCCAAGCAATCTCCATAGTAAAAATAATCGGTGGACAACTGCCGTCCTCCAAGTTTAAACGCCCAATACTTTGCACTCAATCACTGCGCCTGCCGTCCTCCAGGTTTAAGAGGCCAATACTTTGCACTTAATCACTGTGCCTGCCGTCCTCCAAGTTCAAGAGGCCAATGCTTTGCACTCAATCATTGCACCTGCCGTCGTCCAAGTTCAAGAGGCCAATACTTTGCACTCAATCATTGCACCTGCTTGCCTCCAAGTTCAAGAGGCCAATACTTTGCACTTAATCACTGTGCCTGCCGTCCTCCAAATTCAAGAGGCCAATGCTTTGCACTCAATCATTGCACCTGCCGTCGTCCAAGTTCAAGAGGCCAATACTTTGCACTCAATCATTGCACCTGCCGTCCTCCAAGTTCAAGAGGGCAAATTGTCCAGTTAAGCACCAAATGAATAGTTGGTGGATCCAACTAGATCCAAGCGATGCCACCGAGCTTCGCTCTTCGACATCTCCAGGTGCTTGCGGTTCGCCACCAGCCTGCCAAAATTGTGACATGGAAAGCCTCCAGCAAAATGGGTTTGGAACATTTCTCAGTGGCCATTTTTTTGGAACCTAAATTCGAGGTGCCTACCATTTTTGTTGAGGTCTAAGGGCTATGTAATATCAAAAATGTTGGGAACATCTTGTTTTAATCGTTTCGCGGTGATCCGGACATAGGGAAGGAGTGAGTTACGTATAAGAGGCTTGACCCTTTTTGGGTGTGGATCAAGGGTAAGGATCATATCCCTCAAAGACATGGACCATGAATGTGGATTGGGGGTATGGATCGGGTGTGGCTCCTGGGTACGGATCGGAAAATTATAAAAATTACGTTAAAAAATAACAAAATTATCAAAAAGTCAAAACATATCAAAATTACGTTAAAAAACAATCACTGGAAATTGTTCAGATATACATCCAAACATATTTTCGTATAGGAAAAGAAGATTTAAAACAAAAAACAAAAAACAGTCAATGGCAACAAAAACAACAAAGCCAACAAGCCCAATCAATGGGGATTAACAATCAAGATTTCCATCCTCTGAAACTTCCCTGGAGAAAGGCCCCTGGATGTTTCATCGCAATTAAGGATATATACTAAGTCATGAGAATGGCCTACCTACCTCTGAGGTTGGAGAAATGCTTTCTTTGGCAGAGACCTGGCCATGCGCCCATAGATGATCAAGCTGGACACTTGCGACTTTTTATTATCATGCTCCCTATGATGGAAAGGAAATGGCGGATAAGAACAAAATCTTACAGTAGATATCTTAGATCGTTATACCGATACCCTTACTAGTCATCAGTACTAGCGAGACTTTGTTGTAATTAAAGTCGCCGTATCCATCAATTTTTCACACCTTATGATTGTATTGCTTTTTCAGGTTTCAATGCTGGGAACATGATGCTTAATGAAATCTTAATGGTTTAACCATCATGTTTCAGCCCGTTGCTGGGTTCCCCTAATGCTTTTCCAAGGGTATTCGAACGCGCCTCTGCACGTTGCGCTTCAAGCTCACCTCTCCATGGATTTGGATCCTCAGCTGAGAGCAATGCAAGATGTGCAAAGGGGATCAACGAGTTTTTCCCTTGGTGTTTCTATGGTGTGTCTATGATGATTCTATGGTGTTTCTATGTTGCTATGATGATTCCAGGTTTCTTGTTTTTCATCGTGAATTCTAATGGGGTTTTAATGGGACAAGAATCCATCAACTAGAACGATGTTGGCTGTAGGGAATATCACCAATTTGTTTGGGATCATAGAGGATACAATGAGTTTAGCAAGATGTCTTTGGGAGGTTTGGCTTCCCAGATATAATCCAGACCCGCTAATATTGAACATCCCCATGGTTACCCTCTGGTAGACTAACAGTTTGCTATTGAAAATGGCCATTGAAATAGTTGATTTTCCCATTAACAATTGTGATTTTCCATAGTTATGTTCGTTTACCAGAGGGTAATTGCAATGACTTAAGACAATTTTCCCCAAGGTTTCCCCATCATACTGTTAACCCGCGACTAAATAAGCCATCAGTTTATTCATCCCGGGCCTGGAGTTGCTTGATTCCTAAGACATATTCCTAAGACACATCCCCGTTGGGAAAATAAGAAATCCTCTTCACCAAATCCAGGTCTGCTGAATATCCATTGATATATCCATTGGTATATACCTGTGAAAACCCATAAATGTGGGTAAAACAATAAATTACCGTCCGGCAACTCACCATTTTTCTAGGCGGTATGTTTGCCATTCCCAAATGGGTAGTTTATGACATTGTTTTACCCACATTATATAATCAATCTAACCAGGGAGTTGACCGGGATGGTTTCTGTTTGCCAAGACTCTCTTTGTAAATCGCCACCTAGGAGATTTGCTGCGGACCATGTTGGGATTGTTCCGATTGGAAGGGCCCTCCAAACCGCAAGTTCGTTCACCAAGGGTTCATGTGGATCAAACTATCTAAGTTCAGGATTTCACCATGGGGATTTCTGGTTCCTGATAGGTAAGTTGGCGAAGATAATTGACCAGTTGCATAGCTTGATACCACAAAATGGGTGACAGCACATGAGGCTACAAACTGTGATGGAGGCTGGGCTTCACTCGGCACATCTGGGGTCCAGTTTCATAGTGGGAACTCCAAAATGTTTCCTTTGGCTGCAAACTCCTGTCACAAACAGTTTCAGAATGGACCTATTGGGGCTGGCAACATATCAGCCGGGATCATCTTTGGATAGGTGCTCCAATCCTTGTTCATGCCTAAACTTAGATACGGTATCCCTTCAAAGATGTTTTTCGTGGGATGGTATACATATATATATAATATATACAACATCCATAATTATTCACGCACCAAAATGGCAAGCCATTAGCCGAATAAGCAATTTTTAACACGCTTTGCCCAGTTGTATTGCCATGGTTATCTGTTCTACCCAGGCCAGCAATTGGTGAAGCAACAATGCGCTTGCCACCCACCAGGCTTCTTCTGGCTGAATTAAAGTAATTCACCAACCCTGGAAGAAAGCCATTTGGGGATGATTGCCCTTGCCCTTACTAACCATCATTCCAGTTATTATAATTTATCCGGAAAATCCCAAAACTGGTTTATAATTTTGTATGTCTTTGAGTGGACGCCATCACACCTTGATTCACCCAGGTATATTTGTTGCATCCTAACTGGATGGTAAGCGCCTCACTTGCGCACACAAAATTGACTCAGCTGCGCACACAGGATTCTGACTCACTTGCGCACACAAAAGTGTCTCAGTTGTACACACAGGGCCTTGGGGTGGGGCTCATTAAAGTCATTATAGGCACACAACCACCAATCCACTTCCTTCAACTTACCATTACACTTCAACCTTGGGGGGTGGGGTGGGGCTAGGGAAGGGTAGGATCTACCAGCCACACCCGTTGCTTAACTTCATAAGTATAGGGACACAACCGCCACTCCACTTCCTTCCACTTATCACACTTCAACCTTGGGGGGTGGGGTGGGGCTAGGGAAGAAAGAGAAGAGCCCTTCTGAACGCCAACGGGCTCCACGTGCTCTACGGGCCTTATGGGCTCTACAGGTTCTACGAGCTCTACGGGTTCTACAGGCCCTACGGGCCTTACGGGCTCTACGGGCTCTACGGGCCTTACGGGCCTTACGGGCCTTACGGGCTCTACGGGCTCTACGGGCCTTACGGGCTCTACGGGCTCTACGGGCCTTACAGTTACAGAAGGATGGAAAGATTCGAACGCGCTCAAAAGTTTCAAAACAGAAAGTGAAACTCTCCAGACCTGAGCGGAAGGCAACAAAAAATGCTGATTTATATGGTAAGCCAAAGATACACCCAACGATCAAAAAAACATATACACATATAATCACATATACATCTATACTTGAAAAATAGCAAGGCATATACAGTACATACAGATACTAATTCTGTGGGAAACTCTCGCAAGTCTCCGGAAAACGGTTTTGTTGGACACGGCAGCTGATCCCTGGTCCCTTGTCTGTCAGCAGCTTTAATCATCGCCGACATATGCAAAGCAACTGGGATCAATCTGATTGGATAACCCTTTTCATAGTTTTCTCTGAATGGTTGGAATCTATGGTGTCTGATGAAGGCAACAAAAAGCAAACACAAAACACTCCTTCATATCTTCTCTAACAGGTGCTTTGACATTGACCTAACGTGAGGCTATCGCCACAGTATCTATAACCAATATATCAACCGTCGCGTTATATATATATATATCAAAAGTGCAAAACGACTGACATGAAAACACAGCACAGCTGAAATCCAAGTACATCACTGCAGAGACCGCGTGGGGAGAGTAGTAGAGAAACCGAGGGGTGAGAGCCGAAACACGACCACCGATGCGCATTACAAACACACAGTCGCAACGGGTCGCGATCATCATCACCAGCATCATCATCATCACCACCACCACCATCATCGTCATCAATCGTCATCATCATCATCATCATCATCATGATCGTCATCATCATCATCATCACCATCATCATCATCACCCCCACCGTCATCATCATCATCATCATCATCATCATCATCACCGTCATCACCATCAGAAGAGCACCAGCATCCTCGTGCACAACTGAGTTGGTTTCTCGCGTGTACAGCCGAGTCGGCTTTCGCGTGTACAACCGAGGCACTTACCTCCTAACTCTCGTGATGATTCAACCCCTCGTTTGAACACCTCGCAGGTGGTTCTGTACTTGGGTAGCAGAGAAAACAGATAATATTACCATGGGCAACAGCTTAAAACTTGTAAGCACTTTAACTTTGGATGCAACCACATACAACCCTCATAATTCGTATCTTCTGGCCCATCGCCACTTATACTCTCATTCAGTGGAACTGCACTCCACAAGTAGTAATCCCTTAGAATTTAGAAAGCAACTAATAAAGGGTATACCGACAAGCCCAGTTATATGATGATTATATGTCTAAGTAAATTATAATATTTCACTACCCTGAATCTTGCGGCCATTTGGGGGTAATTTCCAGGCTGGGGGATCGCTGGGTTTGGTCTTTGTAATTTAGGCCATTTACGGTTCATGGGATGCACCCAGCTTGTTGAGGGATGGATGGATAGATAGGTAGATGATAGATAGACAAGCTATTAGCTTAATTAATTAATTAATTAGTTAATTAGTTAATTAATTAATTAATTAACTAATTAACTAATTCATTAATTAATTAATATATATTATATATACACATTATAATATTATATGTAATTTTATGGTTGCCATAGTTCTAGATGCCATAGATACCTCATTTCACCAACAGCTCTCGCACGTGAGGATCATTGGGTGCATCCAGCGCTGCGACTCAGCCACTCTCGCATCACAGGGGATTTGACGATATCATACGATATCCTACCATCTGGTTATTTAACATAGCTATGGAAAATCCATTATAAATGGAGGTTTCTAGCTGGGAAAATCATCCGTAAATGGGCAATTTTCCATAGCCATGTTAAATAACCAGAGGGTATATCTATTTCATGATTTTCAAGGGGATATCATTCGCCACTGGGTTGACACATGACACCGCATTGCGCGCCATGGCACGTTGTTGGAGTTGCCAATGATGGGACAGTCCGCCCGCAGTTTGCCATCCGGCATCCCGGGCCAAGCTGCAAATGCTTTACCTTGGGCCCATGGGAACCCACTAGTCCACCGCAGCCCGCTTGGATTCCGAAGTGTATCCCACTTAGTAAGCCGTTGATAATCTATATCACACATCGTATATAACCCGTATAATTCCATTAATATATATATATATAATCAGAATCTATACATATAAGTAGGGATATTCTATACATGTAACTGGGGGGTACGACCCATTTACTGAGTGGGATGTACCCCGAAGCAGGGCGTTGGGAGGAACAAACCGCTCGGGGATTCTATGGGGATTCTCATGTATATAGGTATCATGAGTTATCACAAATGATCTATGAGCATCATGCTTGAACGGGTTGCGATTATTAGTAAAACATGGTAAAACTGAGGCCGAAAACCGTGCTACTATCAAACCAAGGGCTTTCCAACGTGTTTACTTGAACCAAGCCTGGGATATGCCATGATATGCCCATACCATGGCACCATGGCGCATTTTTTAACATGAAACCGTCCAATTTCAAGCAGGACCAACCATTTTGAGCCATAATTACCCATCAATAATGGAGTGGCCTGGCAAGTCAAAAGTTGTGGAAGGTTTTGGCTGTTTCGTGACCTCTGGCTCTGGAAGTGCCTGCGCAGCGGTACCACCAATCACGCCGTGTTGGGCTGCGACTTGACGGTTGGTGGGGGCGGTGTTAGCTCCACGAAGTGGCACCCCGCCTTTAGTCGCTGCGAGGGCAGCTTTGCAGCCTTGAAGCCGTCGCAAAACGATGCACAAGGCAGCGATGAGCAAGACGTTCAGCAACGCTAGGAAAAAGTGGCAACAATCCCACTAATTGGCTGCCTCGTTGCTTACCATGCTGCCAGAATTAATGAGCAGGGCTGCACTAGTAATTACCCATCAACAAGCAAAAGTTTCAGGCTAAGCCACGATTGGCTTCAATGCTTCGGTAGGTATCATATGCTTGGGAAACTCCTATAGTAGCTTCCTGGTCCCCTATTTCAGCGGGAATATGGACCATTGGATACAACCATAGCTCCGAACCGCTCCCTCTCAACCACCGGATAGGATAGGATAGGATTTGTTCTTCTTGATTATTTTTTGTGTCCAGCGCTCACTAAGGGTAACTCAACCGTAAGTCATGGCAAACCCACAGCAATGAAACACAATGAAACACATCAGTGCGATCTCCATGCATTAGAGGAAAACTTAAAAGAAATGAATCACAAGTCATTATAAGTCATTGGAAGAGACCGATAAGCACATCCTGAAGACACACTTTCAGTGCTATTCCGTGTTGTTCCACAAGCATTGCTCGCTTCGTCGGCACGGACAGGAGGTGCAAGCGTTGCCAATTTATGAAATGCAGCAGGAACCCCAAAACAACTGCAAGAATTCTATGAAAAAAAACATTTGTGGATGGTTAGAATTTTTGGGCTTTCCAACGTGTAGTTGCGAGAGGGTATTGATCATGATTTTCAATGTGTGCCATCCTTCAGGTCCTACCCTCAAGTTTCCCCTTGGACTGGATTCTTGCATACTGGAAAACAACAAAATCTGCAGTCTCTGGATTTGTGAACCGTTCTGGCCAATACCTCTCAACATGCCACTAGAACTCTCTGTTGCTGACCATCAACAAGAACATTTTTCTTTGTGATATTGTGATATCATCTCCCACTTTTGTTTGTCAATACGGTACCTCTAAATCGGTTAGTCACCATTTTCCCAATCAAAAATAGCGAAAATAGGAGACAGTCCCCAAGTAGACCTTGCAGGTCTAACCCCTGATTTCCTTCCGAGAGGCTGAACTTGGGCGGATCGTGCTTGAACTCGGGCCCGAAATTGAAGGCGGCACGGCCCTTGAAGGACACCGCGGGATACCTCGGGATGTTTGTAGGTCGGGGTGGATGGGGCTCCCACATGTTGTATGAATGTTGGTTGGAAGCCCATGAAAACATCCATTAACTATAGTCAGACACTTTTTTCAGGCAACTTGTGAGATTAACCCTCATCTAAATTTGTAACTATCGTGCACAAACTTGACGATCAATCCCTTGGGCACATTTTTAGCCAAAGTCTTATGGCGGGAGGCAACTCGATCAGTATCCCATGTATGCTGTCGGGATACACTGATTTTTTTATATGTATTTTATATATGTGCACATATATAGTGGGATGTAGTGGGGTTCAATCGTCCAGTGACTTGGGAGTGAGGAAGACAACTGGGTGGACCACTGTGCCAGCGCTCCAAACCACCCAGACACAAGGAGGAAACTTGGAACAAATAAGCTGCCTCTGGCAATCAAACACGGCAACCAATTGCCTATGGTAATCAAGACTGTGGCTCCAGAAGCTGCTAGCAATCATTTTCTCATCCAAACTTGACATATAGTGGCTTCTGAGCATTTAGCCTCCTGGTGCTGGTTCATGGCCCTCTGGTGGCACTTTGTCTCTCTTCCTCTTCTTGCTTTCCTTGGGTGACTGCAAGGTGATCTTTTGGATGTCTGGCTGCAAGTGTTGGAAGACTGCAGTGAGCTGGCCCATCTCAATTTCAACCATGAGCTCATTGTGGATGCCCCTTGATTTGGGGCAAAGGCAATGCACCATGGTGCCACCCACATCAATTTGCACAATCATGTCCATGGTTTGCTTGGCTGGCTCGTGCTTCTTGACATTCTCATTGCCTAAGCCTTCTCCATCTGGTGTAGGCATCGGCAATACACATCAATGTCTCGTTCTGGTTGTACATGTGTGTGCGAGTCAATGCACGTTGCAAATGTTGCAACGGCTGACCAAATCCTCCATGTACAAGTGTTTTTCCAGCTGAAAACCCCCGTTTGGTTCGGGGATTTTCCAGCTTGCCACATTTGATGACACCGGAGGGTAGCCCCTCAGAAAACGTGCTTTACTATTGGAGGTATCAGCCAATTTCCCTCCTTGCTGGTAATCTATCCATGTATTGTTGGAGCAACCGGCTGGATTTCGGGGCAATCCAATAGCACATAGTGAAGATGAGGGGGATAAGATGGGACCCCCGGAAGAAAACCTCATAACCGAAGGAAGTTTAGAAGTCAAACTTCCGACAATATGGACAGATGACAAGCAGAGATGGGAAGAGTCAGAGAAGAGAAGAGAAGAAAGAAGATCAAAAAAGAGAAAGTCTCAGAAGAAAGAGGATCCAGGTGCGCAAAAAGGTAGGAAAGTCGCGAAACACTGTGTTTTTCCAATGATTTGTGGCTCCGGAGGGTCGAAAAGAAGGCTAAAGCGGCGGGTGCAGAGCCAGCTGGCCAGATGAGAGATGAAAAATTGCACGCCGTTGTGGCGCGAAGCACATTTCCAAATCAAAATGTACAAAAGTGCTTTTAGAAGTTGCGATGTCGAACAAGATCGAAAAAGTGCACGCAGTTCGCGAAGCACATTTCGAAGTCAAAAGTGTAAAAAACTGACGGTTTCAGAGCACTTTTGGAAGTTGAGATGTCGAAAAAGTGCACGCCGTTGCGGCGCGAAGCACATTTCGAAGTCAAAAGTGCAAGAAACTGAGGGGTACGGAACACTTTTGGACGTTCAGATGTGGTTTTGTGTGGCAGTCGCAAGGGATTGTGCACCTTCTCAAAAATGAGCAAAACGTGCGGGTTTTGTAGCATTTCGAAAAACAATTGGCAGGCGTGGGACATTTGAAGAGGATCTGCAAAAGATACATTTTCCGTGGCAGGCGCAGTACAAGAGACATGTTCATCAGAGATGTAAGGAGGTCCGGGCACTGATTTCCTGAGAGAGGTTGCATTTTGGAGCATCAGATCTTCAGTTTTGGAAAGATGATTTTGCGTGACAGGTGCAGCACGTATGACTTGGCATCACTTTTTCGAGGCAGGCGCTGTACTTTAGACAGGTGGCATGGAAAAATCAGAAAACGCATTGGTACGAGGCCTTGAGCTCTGCACTCAACTTTCCATTTTTGAAGGAAGTCTCGCAGGATTGTTTCGTTTTTGATGTTGTCACCGTCGAAAAATGAGAAAGTCTCGCAGAATTGCCTCGTTCTTGCACTTGTCGACTTCGAAAATTGAGGAAGTCTCGCAGACTTGTTTCGTTTTTGACGTTGTCAAGTTCAAAAACTGAGGAAGTCTCGCAGAATAGCTTGGCTTTGAAGCTTGCAGATTGCAGCTAGATAGATAGATAGACAGATAGATAAAAAGATAGATAGATACAGAGACAGACAGACAGACAAACAGATAGATAGATAATTAGATCATATTAGATAGAAAAATAGATAGATGGATGGATGGATAGATAGATAGACACTACACTACACTACAGCTACACATGCAAATAAACTATGCGACATTACACAACACCAATTACACTACACTGCGCTAATTGCATCTAATTACATTAGACTACACTAATTACACTACAACAACACAGCTACAACTACAATCACAACTCCACCACGTTACGCTACACTGCGCTAATTACACTACAACTACAAATACAAATGCGACTACAACTACATTACATCACACAACGCTTCACTACACTAATAACATTATACATTGCACTACAACTACAACTACAATTGCAACTGCAACTGCCACTAAAAAAAGCTACACGGCGCTACACTCATTGCACTACACAACGCTACAGATACAACTACCTTACACTACACTAGACTACACTACACTTTGCCAAACTACAGTACACAACACTACAGTACACTACAATACACTACGCTAATTACACCACACCACAACTACAACTACAACTACAACTGCAACTGCAACTACACTACACTAAGTACACAACATTACAACTACAACTCCACTACACTACACTACACTACAACTACGACGACAACTACAACTGCACTACGCCACACTACATCCAGCAGTTGTGGTGAGGTGACCACTGCATCATTGCAACCACTCCAAAAAACACAAGTCCAACCACCTTTTGGTCCATCAGTGGGTTCGCTCTGTCATCCGTGATTCACAACAACCAACCTCTCCTATAGGTGTCCTATCTTTGAAACTTCCGCCACCGCCTTGTGTGGTACTACTGGTATTCATAAATCACAAAACTTTAGACACAGTCCACATCCCAAAAAGAAACAAATTACTCTACTTCGTGTGATCCCCACCATGACATGTCAGGACGTATATTTGGACATATATTTAGTATATTCTGACATCCTATCTGACATATATTCTGGCATATATTCTGGCATTCTATCTGGCATATATCCTGACATTCCACCTGGCATTCTATCTGGCAGTCTATCTGGCATTCTATCTGACATATTTTCTGACATTTCATCTGACATATATTCTGGCATTCTACCTGTCATTTATTCTGACATATATTCTGGCATTCTATCTGACATATATTCTGGCATTCTATCTGGCATTATATCTGACATATATTTTGGCATTCTATCTGACATATATTCTGGCATATATGTTGGCATTCTATCTGGCATTATATCTGACATTCTATCTGACATTCTATCTGGCAGTCTATCTGGCATTCTTTCTGGCATTCTTTCTGGCATTCTATCTGGCATTCTATCTGGCATCCTATCTGACATTCTATCTGGCATTCTATCTGGCATCCTATCTGACATTCTATCTGGCATTCTATCTGGCATTCTTTCTGGCATTCTATCTGGCATTCTATCTGGCATCCTATCTGACATTCTATCTGGCATTCTATCTGGCAGTCTATCTGACATTCCTACATGAGGTCCGGCAGGGAACACTTGGCGTGGATGGTCGTGGTTGAGGTCCGGCAGGGAACACTGGGCGTGGATGGTCGTGGTTGAGGTCCGGCAGGGAACACTGGGCGTGGATGGTCGTGGTTGAGGTCCGGCAGGGAACACTGGGCGTGGATGGTCGTGGTTGAGGTCCGGCAGGGAACACTGGGCGTGGGTGGTCGTGGTTGAGGTCCGGCAGAGAACACTGTGGATCGCGGGTCGCAGTTGAGCAAGGACGACGAGGACGACGAGGACGACAAGGACGACAAGGATGACAAGGAGGACGAGGAGGAGGAGGACGAGGCAGGAGGAGGCGGAGGAGGAGGAGGAGAAGGAGGAGGAGGAGGAGCAGGAGGAGGAGGCAACTGACATAAAATCTAACAACCCTCACCTGGCAGGTGGGGAAAAACTTTGCATCACCTCATGTTGATATGATTCTCAAAGATCTCAAGCCCTGGCAATCCAGCACGTTATAAAGCGGAGAGCCTCCCAAACAACAACTGCTCAACTTCTCAATGGTCTTCACAAAAAAACCATGGAAGATGTTACAATCTTAGATGCCATGCAAAAAAAACTCCATTTCATCGTGTTTTCTTGTCCCCAAGTGAAAAATATGTCAAAATCACCATAGCCCCATTGTCGTTGATTTAAACTACCTCTCACCAAGATTTACCTATCCCAATTTATCAGCGGTTAAGGCCCCTAATCGCTTGATACAATTCTTGTACAACGGGTACATGAATGGCCCCAGAACTACCCTCTCAAGTACCCATAAAAATGGGTGAACCTACAATCATGGGGTAAAATATGGTACCATATGGTTTTAAAAAAATATCTTTCTTGCGGTACTTGGAGGGTCTAGGTACCAATCCAAAGTTGCCCCCGAAACTCAACCAGAAATTCCACTGAGACCCAGGAGCATTGCAGCGCTTCTAGGCACCACTGCAGGGCCGAAGCTGGGCTCGGCCTCTGAATCCCATTCCTCAGTACCAAGGACGGTCGACATCACGGAGATTTTGGGATTTGCGAAAGATGGCATCACCCAGATGCTCCATGGTGCTGGAATATTTACCTACATGACTGGGCAATTTTTGGGGTAAATGTTGGTAAATATTCCATACATGGAGCACATGGGTCAACAAATACCCTTTGGCTATCCAATGGGCCGGAATAAGGAACTGGATAATCACCATGTGACTAGCTAAACCATCATGTGACTATCATCAAACTCAATAGGCCATTTGCCAGAGTGAAAACAAATCACCAGAAGGTACAGCATATTCCCTATCGATTTGCTCATAGGGGGTTCTCCTCAACAAATTGAGGCCTTTCAAAGTGGTGCCCCCCCAGCAATAAGTTTGTTTATCACCAGTCTAAATATAGTTACGATTGCCAAAAACCCTAATTAGTGAACTTACTTATAATCCTCCTTGCCTAACTCTGGAACACCACCTTGTACATTTCAGGGCTTGGCATCCATTGTTGGCCGCTGATTTGGGGGAGTCAACAAAATAAACTCCCGTTGTTGTTGCTGTTGCTGTTGCTGCTGCTGCTGCTGGTGGTGGTGGTGGTGTTGTTGTTGTTGTTGCATGGATTATGTTCTTCAACCGCATCTCCTAACGGTTAGGTTTCACCAACCCAACTGGGGTTGATGGTGGTTTTTCACGGTTTTTCATCACCAGCTTGAAGATCAACCATGCAGCAAACAAAAGCATCGGATTAATGACTGGGGTAGCCTCTGCTACCCCAACAGTTGGCAATAGAAAATCAATCATGTCAATCAGTTGTAGGTAGGTGTTCCCAGTGTCATTGGGGCCAATGAGTATCATGTTTTGCTTGTAACATTTGGTTTCCCCCGCTCTCCATGCAACCAGCGGTTGCTCAAAAAACAGTTATGGATCAACTTCTTGGTGGCGATAGACGCCGTCTCAGCCGTGGTCATACCCAGGGACCTTCCTGGAAACATGCGCTATGAAAAAATGCATTTGACGCCTGAACCTGCGCCCATTTTGAAGATGTTTGAAGTATCTGAGGAAACCAATTCCATCAATTCTCTTCCCATGACACGTGAACATTGGTCATTGGTCCTTCAAATTCCAATCAGAAATGGAAGCGATAACAGCGGCAAAAAAATGGTTTAGGAACAACAACCAGCATCACCACGGGAGCATGCTCAACTGAAACAGGGACCCTTGGGAAACCAGTTCCCTAGCACTTTGCATGGTAATTTAATCATTAAAATCATTACCCTCTGGTAATTTAACAATTTGCGAACTTGAACATGGCCATAGAAATAGTGGATTTATCCGTTAAACATGGTGAATCTTTCCAGTTCGTTTTGTAAACGTTTACCAGGCCGGGTAAATCCCATGAACCCTCCAAGTGGCTCCGTTCGTGGCGAACCAAATCTTGCCAGCCTGAGCGGGGGAAGAAGGTTCTGGCACTCCTGTTCTCATAACTTCTATGCATATGTTTTTTACATAACTGTACGGATAAATATATATATATATATACATAGATATAGTTATAGTTATATATACAAATATTATATGCATAACTTCAATTTCCTTTGAATTTCCTTTGCTTTTGCGTGTGCATCTAGATACAATATATACATCATATTTTCTTCAACAGCCCAGGACTCGTGGACCATCGTGGAACCAGCTGGCTTTGAAGTCTTCATCCAACATGTTATGGCCGAAAAACACGGTTGGCAAATTACCCTCTTGTTATTTAACGTAGCGAACTGGAGAATCACCATTTTTAATCATTAAAAACAATATAAATGGGACATTTTCCATGGCTATGTTAAATAACCATAGGGTAGAATTTGAGAACAAATCACTAGGTTGAGTAATTATCTTCCAACATCAATCACCATCCTCTTTTGCTGTCACCATTTCCCCAATTTCTCCCGACACCAAAAAACCGGGCCCATGACGTGCCTCAATATCCACAGCCACACTGACCACCACCTGTTCACTCAACTGACGTCCAGAAGTTTTCCAGGTGCGGTTCCATGCCATCTTGCGACCTGACATGGGGCAAGGGCTGGGTCTGTCTAGAAATGGGGGATACCCCAACAATTGCTATTTGATAGGGAATATGCCCTCTGCTAAACTAACATAGCTATTGAACATGGCCATTTATAGTGAGTTTTCCCATTAAAAATGGTGATTTTCCATAGCTATGTTAGTTTACCAGAGGGTATCATGATAAGCCAGAGGATCTAGTATTTTCAGACAAACCCACAAAACCCATATTTTTCGGCTTCTGCCAGTAGGCTATTCTGCGGAAGGTATGGTATACGTTTATTTGCATTTGGGGAAAATATGTTGGGGTAAATGCTGGTAAATTTCCGTGAAGTATTTGGAAAGGGAAAGAGAATTCTGGATGGTTCAACTGAGCATTTGCGGATTTAAGCATGTTCACAAGTTGAAGCAATAATTAACCATGAAATGTATTTCCAGTGGTAAACTGCCCTTCCAAACTACATGTCTCAGCTTCAACATTGAAGAACAAAGGCTGAAACATCACCATCCAAACACTTGGAGGGCGTTCCCATATAATAAATCCCTCAAAGCCACGGATGTTAATCTTATGTTAATCATATCATTATCCCAAATGTTAATTCATAGAATTGGATGATGGGAAAATTTACAGGAAAGCCCTATATTTCATGGTAAAAACCATGGTTTCCGGTTCAGATTGTCCCTTGAACCAATCCAATGATGTTTAAAATCCAAACGTTTTGTGCCACAAACACCTTTGCCATCACACATGGCCATGTTAATCATATCATTATCCATAGTATCCCGTATGTTAATACATTTAACCGGTTGAATTTTCCCCATCAAAATCCTACGGAAAAATGCCCTAAAAAAACTGTGGACCGACCGCCTCCATGCCACAGGATCGAATGTTGCCCATCTGCTCCCCAGCCATGCTGATCATCGCCAACGCCCAACAAATGCAGCCCCTTCGTCCTGGAAAATTCTCGACTGTCATGGGCTGGGCTGGTTTTAGGATGTTAGATGGTGTTATATATTTATAATTATTTATATATATATATATATACACATGAAACTGTGTTTGGTGCTGAAACCTGAATTTTAGTAATTGTGGAGGTGTTATATCAGATGTATTTAGAATTATTTAGATGTTATCTGTTCTTGGTAATTGTTTAGATATTCATGGGTAGTCTCCCATTGCCGTCATCCAGTTCTGGGACCAGTTCTGCGATAGAACCCTCAGTCATTTTCACGACCGAATTGTAAATGGGACACTTTTCACTAAGCATTGACTTGCCAAGCACTTGCTTCAAATAGTTCATCTCTGCAAAGGAAATGTCCAGTACCTAGAGGTTCCCAACCTATGGAATGTCTATTCAATATGTAAGGCCTCAATTCCAATGGTCCTCTGACCTCCTTTTCATGGTCTCAAAGGATTTAGATCTATTCCCACCTTTTGAGTGATGTTGCCAACTCCATTTTAAGTAGAAAAACACTGCTGTTTACATGCCTCATGTTAGATCCTGCGGTCATTCGGGGATTTGTTCATCCTAACCATGTTTGAAAAATATCTTTGAAACATTTTGAAACCACCAAAGACTTACAGTTTGTCAAAATGTTTTTCCTTTTGGTGCCAGCTAATTTCATATCCATTTAACATCAATTTCACCTTGTATTTTTGCACAAAAAAAAACGAGCTGCTCACCATGAGGATCAGCTGTCCTGGGAGCCAGTTCGAAGCGGCTGGCGAGCAAACCTACCTGGGGCGATTCGACGCCAAAATGCAGCTCGACTTCGAAGAAGTAACGACCCTTCTTCCTTGGCACGTGGCACGGCACGGCACACGTTGGGAGAGGATCCTTTAGGACCATGAAACATGCCACGAAAAAACCAACGTACCAAAAAGATAGTAACATCTAGGGAAGAAAAGAAGTTTAAACATGATCTGGTTGGTGGTATACCTACCCCTCTGAAACATATGAGTTCGTCAGTTGGGATTTTCTGAAATTCCCAACTGAATGGAAAAAATATGTTCCAGTCACCACCAACCAGATGATCTACTGAAATGATCATGGTGGAATTTCAACATCAATGCGCCATGCTCATCTTTTCCTGGCCCCTTGAGGGGCTTATCCTCTGGCGCAAATCCGGGCCATTGCCCAAATATATGATGTTTTTGCTAATGGGTATGGTACCAATAGTTTATAAAACAACCATGGGCAACATGATCAACATGTTTTTTCTGATATATAACTATAACAATGATATTTTCAGGAAACAAACCATCATTTCCCAGTACCAAACCCAATCTCAGCACACCAGGCGTCGGAAGTTCTGAAAAATAATCTTCACCAATCATTTACCAACAGTATCCAACAGTGATCCCATGCACCAAGCATTCTCATGAAGCAGTCCGAATGACTGAATTTTAATTGCAGTTGATCAGTTGATCACTTGGAAAATCATCAAATCAACAATGATCCACCTACTCCTATCCTACCGATGACCTACATTAGATCGATTACCCTCTGGTAAATTCATAATGGGAAAATCAACTATAAATGGCAATTTTCAATAGCTTTTTGTATGTTTACCAGGCCGGGTAGATCAATTACAACTACTCCAGGGATTTCCCCACATCCACATCCAGTCTTCATCCCGGGCGTCTGTGGAAGGTCTGGGAAGCCCATGGTGACCCAGTCGTTGGTCGTATCCGCAGTCAGGCCTCGTAGCAGCCGGGGCTGCATCCGCGGCACGTCCTCCATGGAGGTGTTCGCCATGGCAACTTCCACCAGGCGATGGAGCTCGTTGTCGTTGTACTCCTACCCCGGAAGCGTTGGTAAATGTAACTAACATAACAAGGTTAGTAAGTAGTCCTGGTGGTTACTGTATAACTGTAATTAACTAGTATAACTATATGACTATATATGGTTGGGAATTATAAATTTAACCTAGAAGTACTTGGGGTGTAAACCCAACCTAAAATTATATACTTATAGACTTAATGGGGGGTGTCAAACATTGGGGGCACCACTTTGGGTGACAAACAGGCCCTGGCAGGTTGACGAGGAATTGGCTGCCAAGCAACTGGGAATTGACCATACAAAAAGCTATTGAAAATTGCCCATTTATAGTTGGTTTACCTATATATTCATATATAATCATATATATTCAAGATAGTGATTTTCCATAGCTTTTTGTATGTTTACCAGAGGGTATCAGGTAAAATTCAAAAATATGGTTGACTGGATTGGTTCTGACAACCTCGATCACAGACTTTCCTTTTCTCAGACTGACTCTGGACATCGCACATCACTCCACCGTAACTGGGAAAACTATGGAACACTTAGGTTTTTTTCACCCCCCCCGTCTTGAAATCCCATTGGTCATTTTTTTGGAACACCAATGGGATAGCCCACCAAAGGCGGTGGTGGCAAACTGATTTTCCAGGGGCCTGTTGAAAATTCGGCATCCTCATACAGGATATTCCAATGGGTATGTGAAACAATAGGTCTTTTGGCAATAATGGAAGGCCGGACCGAATGGTAGGGCATTTTGTGCCTTATATATCCTAGGGCAGTTTTCTTTGGGTATTCAGTGCGCAAACAAATGCCATCCCAAACTGAACCAGCGCGTGGCGGCCGCGCCTTCAACACATGGGCGTACTTATCCTTAGTGGCGCCATGTTCGCTGGAAAGCAGTATGAGTCACGCTGGGCAAGTTCTGCCGGTCAAAAAAAAGCTGGAACAATGAATTTGACAAACTGATCATAAATCACGGGATTCTTGGGGGAGTTTTTGCACCCAAGTCATACTTGAAGCCTCCGGGTGGTCACTGCTGCATCTGCTTTCCAAGGATGCCCTCCGGCAAAGTCCCAATAAATGGAGGTTTTGAATGGGATAATCATGGAAAATCATCTGTCGATGGTGGGTTTCCATGGGGTTTCCTTCAAGCCGATGACCGAAGGGTACCACACAAGTTGCAGCCAAGCTTCCAGCACGGCCAAGCGTGACCCTTGGATGCCTCCGCTGTCTGTTGCTGCAAAGGTGGCCCGCAAGCGAACGTCCTGGCAGGGTCAAAGATCCTATCAAAATAGCCTTGAGATGTCCAAGACGGATCAATTTATGGTACTTTGCACTACCAAGGACACGTACAAGATGGGGCCCTCCAGTTATAAGTTGGTTGATAACCCCATCCAAATATAGTTATTTGCGTATCATACACCAACTGGTTATTATAGTTATGTTCACCAACTTAGCTAACGAACTGGGGCCCCATCCTGTAGGTCAACTTGACACGTGTCTTAACCACCTTAGTGTTGGAACTCTTGGATGTGAAGGCTTTTCACCTGATTGCACGGACGTTTCTGTGGTTTCCTCTTAGGCAGGGACTGCTCTGGTTGCATAACAAGTGAAATGAATAACTGGTTGGTGGAAAACTAACCATCTTGAAAAATATTAGTCCATGGGAAGGATGACATCCCACATATGAAATGGAAAATAAAAAAAATGTTTGAAACCACCAACCAGATAAAAGTGATACATGATGAAATTTTCACTGTCTTCCAAAGTGCCCGTAGCCTACGCGTTGGTTGTATTTTTGGGCATCAATGATTTTCAGCTTGCTGTGCTGTCGGGCAGATGGGTCAAAACACGGAGATCAGAAGCTCTTCCCAATCTCCTGCTGAAGTGTGGATACCAATGGTTGGTGCGGCCAAACCCATCAACAGTTTACCCCGGTGCTTTTATAAGTGGGGATGTGGATTGCAAACATACCCATGGTTATATTCCAGTTGTTGTTGCTGACAACTCTTGTCACTTAATGTCAACCCCGGATTAATAAACCCTGGTTGATTAATTGTGGTGGTTCCCCCAAATAGTGATAAATGGCTACTGAAATGGTACCCCCCCAATTAAACAGCCGCTTGGGGTTTATTAATCCAGGGTTGCCATTATCTGTCACCATTTTCCTTGATGAAAGGACACTGACAGTCAGCAAAGAGATCATAGCAATTACCATCAGGATCGATGGCCACTAAAACACTCAGAAAATCCGTATTTTGGGCGGTCCAAACTACCAGAATCACTTCAACAAGGGAATGTCACATTCTCGGTTGTTAATCTTATTTGTTTTTTCAGATCTTTTCTTGATGAACTCATGTTCAATTCATTTTGAACGAGACAATCACCCTTCAGCAAGTCTACCGGTTTACCCATACAATTAATACCCGGCAAATATCACATATCTGCAGATGATATCGCAAACCCAAGAATAGACACTGATAAGCCATCCCAAATATTACCAGAAATGGGTATTCAAACATGTATAAAGCCTCCAAAATTCGGTCAATTTGACATGATCTGCCTGGTTGTCTCTACCCATCGGTTTCCCCTTGGTTCTAGGTGGGGTCCCCACCTTCAAGACCAGGTAGGAATCGCCATACCTGGACGCCAAAATGTGGCGTTTTCCGAGAGGTTTTAGCCTGTTTTCAATAGGTGGGTATAGATTGAAAGCAGAATCACCGAGTTTTAGATCTGATTTTGGGAAAACAGTGACATGAATGAATGAAAGTTTCAGCAAGCAGAAATTGAAGACCGCGCATCGGACCTGATTATCTAAGCGGGATCCAAGCAGTTCAAAGCTTGAAAAAACGATCTATTTATCTTTCCTAGACAAACATTGGGGTTCAATCCAGAAATGTCTGGAGCTGTTGGTTCCAGTGATAAGTGGGTTGTATACCGCATACCATTATAGTCGTAGGGATTGTATCCCAATGATAATGCACGAAGGTTATTACTATTACCACGGTTATAGCCATTAACAACTCCCAACTGCAGCCCCACATATGTTCTTTCTATTTTGGTCTGGTTAAAAGAACCATTTTTACCGGCAGTATCCGGCAGTTGTATAATTTCCAGATAAGCGACTGATAAGCCGACGTGATGCCGCGATAGTCATTCATCACACCTCAGGGGAGCTTGCTGTGAGCTTGCCCTTTCTGGGATCCTGGATGAAGTTTAATGTGGGTAAAACAAATAATAAACCATCCCCCAGTCATCACCATAAATAGGTGATATGTTAACCATTCCCAAATGGGTGGTTCATGCATGACATTGTTTTTAATCACATTACGAACACAGTATTTGCTCATCATCCGCAAGATATTTCATGAGTCAAACAGCAATTCCTTTGCACCCCCAGATTCCAGTCCATGTGTAGGACATGTTATTTTGGGCACATTAAAAACAACATGGCAAACCATGCGCGCCTCGCACACATGGTTTACCTTCTGGTAATTCAAAAAAAACATGAAACAACACCTATGAATGGGCCATTTCCATAGCAATCTGCGGAATGACCAGGGGGTATATCACCAGTATATTCCACTAACTCACCACTGGTGTTGGTTAAATCAAATCCCATATATATACAGTTATTTATATATGTAAATCCCATCTAATCACTGTAGTTGATAAATCCCATATAACTATAACTATGTACTGTAACCCAACCATTCACTCAATTTTACCAATTTTTCTGAGCAGCTGCCAACCTCTATCCGGGAATTAAACATGTTTTTCAATGATTCCCCTCGATCTGGTAAATCCAAAAACGAACCTAAAGCCAATCTTTACCATAAAACATACTATAGGGATCATCTCATCAATCTTTGATAGCGCACAAACAAATGTCATCTTTTGTTGGCTATGGTCGTTTCCATTGCAAAAAAACTGAAAGATTACCCTCTGGTAATTTGTTACATAGCTATTGAACATGGGTATATCCACTATTTCTATGGCTTTCCCATGATTTTCCTATGATTTTCCCACTATAAATGGCCATTTATAGTTGATTTACCTATTAAAGATGGTGATTTTCCAGTTCGCTTTTTGCATGTTTACCAGGCCGGGTCAACTACCCATTCAAGCTTGGGGATGGGACCCCTCGCCACCTGAAGAGCTGCTCGGACTGATCAAGGAACGGTTCACGATAATCCCCAATTGGATATGATTGGATACCCTCTGGTAATTTAACATAACTATGGAAAATCACCATTTTCAATGGGTAAATCCACTATAAATGGCCATTTTCAATAGCTACGTTAAATTACCAGAGGGTAATCCCCAGTTGGATATGATTGGATAAATTGTAAGCCCCGAAGAAAAAACTGGCTAACAATCATTCTGAAAAATCACATCCCCACATCAATGATGGGCAAAACCACCAAACATGAGGACTCAATCGCCAAACATGATGGGCTTGGGAACGCTATACTCAAGTTCACACTATCAATGCTATATCTTTGACGGATCACCTAAACAGCTCGGCTCCCCATCTGGGTAAATCACAGTAATTCACTAATCTGAAATGTTCGACTGAATTGGGTTACCTGGTTACCCCTCACAGTCTCCATATTTCGCCATCATTTCGGTGAGGTCGCAGGGTTTTGGTTGTGATCAAATTTATTCACAATCCATAGCCATCGTCCCATGCTATCCATGTAGTTCCATGTCCCAAATACATATTTTGATAAGAAATTTGTCTTGTGGGACTCATCCAGTGGACCTATCTGCACCATCCCCAAGTCATCACCATTTTCACGGCTGGGATGGTTTCAACCATTCGCAGTTGTTATGTAGGACTGTTCATGGCATAGGCTCGCCCACGTTCATACCATTGGATGATAATCATCATCCCATTCACCAACATATGATAATTTATAATCCCATAATTTTCGATTCTATCACGGTGGTCCATTGGAATAATCATTAATTACCCTCTGGTAAACTAACGTAACTATGGCAACTATGGAAAATCACCATGCTATTAATGGGTAAATCCACTATTTCGACTGGGCCATGGCTTCCAGTTCGCTTTTTGTATGTTTACCAGGCCGGGTATTCATCATGGTCCATTGGAATAATCATTAAGCCCATTATTAACCATTATTAACCATTGGAAGAATCATATTATTCATCATGGTCTATTGGGATAGTTCCACACCATCCGGCGCCCTGGTCATGCCGTCGTCATGACCATGGCACCCAGCGCGCCGTACTTGCAGCGCTCGAAGGCTTTGGCGTCGTCATAGGCACCGCCGAACAAATCGGTTTCCCAGTCCTGAAAGCTGGGAATGAAAATAGGAGCTCACCAGCAACAAAAACGAGTGATTTCATGACATTTCAGAAGGACAATTTTAAAAGATGTGGTTTCATGGGATTTCATGGGGTTTAGCGAGCAAGACTGGTGATTTCATGGGATTTCATGGGGTTTATCTTCAAAAAAATATGATTTATTGCGATTTCAAGTGATTTAGCCATCAACAATGGTGATTCAGTGGACTATTGAAACATCAAAAACAAGCAAGTCAAACATATGGGGATTTATATAATGTGATTTCATGAGGATTAATGGGACCAATTACCCTCTGGCAATTTTGTCAACAACGGAGATATGCTGATGGGAATGTAAATAAATAAATATATATATATATACAAAACAACATGGTGATTTTTGATATTTAAATTGCGATGATATGATGCGGCTAGTACATCGACAATTACTACCATTTAATTCCAAAGTAGTGTGGCTTTAATAAACAAATATATATTGGTTCCTCCTGTTAAATCGATTATTTTGGGCTGGGAAATATAAACCATGAATAATAGGTATCTTTCATGAGGGTGTGATGAGGGAATGATGATCTAAATGAAGATATAGTTATATATGGTTGATGAAGTAAGGAACTACAATTTCCCTCGCTAAGCAGCACAAATAAAGAAATCGGGGAGTTGACCGGCAAAATATCCTGGAAAATGCGGTGCTGACCCAAATAAAAATCGTGGCTAAAACAAACTTACTTTTTTTTCTGGACTTTTGTGGTAGCTTCACCATTTTTTACATGGTTGAAAAGTGAGGATATCACGGAAACACTTACATCACACATCAACTTATCAACCAAGAGGTGGAAACCAGGGGTGTGGTCTCAAGATTCCACCCCCGGCTACACTCCGTTCATTTTTCGCCTCACGCCAGGCTGAATTTAAATTCTCAGTTTAGGTACCCGAGCTCTAGTTGTGAGTTAGTTCATAAGTTATAGCTCCAATTCATTTCAGTATAAAGATATATCTACCAGAAAGCCTAGGTCTTGAAGTTATACACCCACTTGGCTAACTATGGGGCACCACCTTATATGCACGTTCCATCAAACATGATACTTTCATATACTTTCTATGAAAGTGTGCTAGGGTGTATCTACTTTGGAGTCGGCAATATCATCTGGTAAGCCCAATGATAAACCACACCCATTTTTTCCAGACATGGGTGGCATAAACAAATTCCATTGGAGTTTCATTCTTGGGTTTACCACATTGATCAATGGATCGATTCAAGAACAAATCTCTAGGGAACCTTGGGTAAAACAACCACAAGAACGGGATCGTCCTGCAAATTTATCCTTCAACTACCTTATTTTAGCATAAATATGGTGGTTGGTGGTTTCAACCCCTCTGAAAAATATAAAAGTCAGTTGGGATTATTATTCCCAACATATGGAAAAACAAAAAATGTTCCAAACCACCAACCAGTATGGTGTTTTTCCTTCAACTACCATGTCTTACTCTCAAACATGTTTTTTTTTCACCTGCGCATGTAGGGATCCCAGAAATGATGCCGAAAAGTCGAGGATGTTGGTTCGATGATGTTTCCCCAATAATTTGCAGGGTTCAATTGTATTTTCTATCTTTGGCTGGGGGTTGCTGAAATATCCCATTACTCATCCCTATGTATCCGATTCTTACTGGTTATATAGGTCAACAATATTAATATCCTACCAATATAATTCAATATAACATTCTTATCCCAATACTCATCCCTACTTCCCCAACGCTTCATGGTGCGTCACCGAACCGCACCGTGGAAACGCCCGCAGCGGCACCTTTCGAATCTGGTTCTTGTCGTCCAGGGCACCACAAGAGGTTCCAGTTTCGAACTGACTGCGATAGAACCTCAATCGCGCAGTAGAACGGAAGCGGGGTACATGCCAAGCATTTTTTGGTGGTCAGTAATGATATTAAGAAAGCGCAGTTAGATTAACCTGTCATTGACCAAAAAAAGGGATGCACAATGCACATTCAAGTCACCCCAGTATGAAATTTGGGATGCAACAAGATTTCTTAAACAACCCGTCGGGGGGAAAACCGCGCCAGGGGTTGTGAGCGCTTTGAAAACAATGTCGTTTTCTCCAAAGCGAAACTACTGATTCATTCTCTAGGCTTTATTTTCCCCGGGATTTGAAGTGTTTTTTCGATGATGACCTGTAATTTACAAGGATTTTTCTCTTGAAAAGGTGCGCGGAGCTTTTTTCCCTCTCACATCGCCATGCGGTTCTTCAATGAGCGACCAGTGACCTCCAAAAAGCTTTTCAAGAACTCAAGTGTCACACAATTTTCACAGTCCTTTCATGTCCCTTCATCTTCGACGACCGAACCATTCACTGAGAAAACCTCACGGTCTCAGACCGCGGATCCAAGCAGCTCGTCCGTCTCAAGAAAGCGCCCCACATCGTCGATGTGAATGTGGATACCTTGGTAGATCTGGCAAAAATATCGCGAACATATGCCAGTTGTGTGGCTTCAACCATAGTTGATTTACCCATTAATAGCATGGTGATTTTTTATAGCTATGTTAGTTTACCAGAGAGTATCACCAGTTTCATAGATGGTATAATTCTTTGAACCGTTCCTGGTACGTCCTGGTTGGTTGATGACATGGTTAAAACATGTTAAAAACTTTCATCCCTATCACCTCCAGGAAATCGAGATGCCAGACTAACAGTTTGCTATTGAAAATTTGGACCATTTGTAGATGGTTTACCTATTAAATTATTACTGGGTTGATGGTATACCTATGCCTCTGAAAAATATGAGTCAGTTGGGACTATGACATTACCAACTGAATGGAAAGTCATAAAATTCATGTTCCAAACCACCAATCAGCTATTAAAATAATTAAATCTCGTGATTTTCCATCGCTTTTTCGATGTTTACCTCTTAGGCTATCCCGGAATTTTCCCATCACCAAAAAGCCCCGGATCGCTCAGCGGATCCAAGGAACACATGGGTGCCAAGTCCTGGATCCAGCCCAAGACTCCTTGGACTTCAGCTTCTCCGTATCCAAGCCTCGCAGCGAGCCGCGCACCGCTCCGAGGGCGGCACGGCTGATTTTTCGCGACTTTGGAGGCCCACAAAAGACCAAGAGATTTGGGAAATTCAAGGATTATATGGAAGTTGAGTTGGGACATTAATGGAATTTAATGGAAATTGATGGTAATGATTACCCAAAGAAGTGGATGAGGTCAAAAACCCTGGGATTTGGGGTTGCCTCAGCTGGGAAAGCAAAGTTGCTTGAAAAAGACTGGGCTCCACTTGAATCGTCGCGGGTGTAGTTGGCAGTTCCAGCTGCAAGTTGTAAAAGGATATATTTTACCAGAGCAAAAAAAAAGGCTTCTCCCGACTTGTTGGGGTGAATTCAACATGACTACCCACGGCGCCACGGCGTCAGCTTAAGCCAAATTTCATATTCTTTGGATCTTTAAATTCCATGTTTGGCTAAATTCACAATATTTGAGGTTCCCCAACCATTATCCACCACCATTATTTTGCACAAAAACATCCCATGTCCTTGAAGTTTCTTGATGCTGGACGCTTAAATCATCATGTTTGGTCAACTTTGTTTTTTGTTGGATTGAGGAACCCAAGCAACATAAAAACACAGTATAGATTCCTCTTGTCGATTTCCCATTGGAAATGAACACATCTTCAGCGAATCCAGGGTTATAACTCCCTCTCAGTGCAGGTTCCCTACCTCGTGAAGCGTTCACGCACTTCTGGGAGCGCCTTATCCTAAGCGAATGGGTCACAAAACCAATGACACTCATAGAAATTATGATAAAAATGGGTGAACGTAGCAACAACAAATGAGGGTAATTTGGTCATATTTCTTCGCAGGCATGTCTCATTGAATGATTTATATCGATCAATATGTTGTTTTTTTTGCCCATTTAACCGGCGGCACCTAACATCCTGCAAGATCTAGTCTTTGGCTCTAGGAATGCCTAAGTTCTAGGATATACCATCAAGAACTCCAAAGTATGAAAAATATGGCCATACCTGTCTATCTGTCTGTCTGCCTGCATGTGTAAAAACAAAACATTTCATGAATGAATAGACATACATAAACAAAGAACTACCCTCTGGTAATTTAACATAGCTATTGAACATGGCCCATTAATAGTTGATTTACCCATTAAAGATTGTCATTTTCCATAGCTTCTTGTATGTTTACCAGAGGGTAAATCGTTTCTTGACAAGTGGGATTCCCAAGTCACGGGTTTCAATGCTCAGTCATGGTCTGGCTGATTTGGCCATTTGGCCGCCAGGGCGCATGGTTGAGAGAAGCATTGGAGCGCACGTTGGACAAAGCGGCGCGCCTTGGTGTTTTTTTTGGAACAACATCGACCTGTGGGGAAGAAAAACCTCCAAGCTTCAAGAATCAGTCACCAAAAAACAAAACACACCACGAAATATCGTTGGTTTATCATTTTGGTCAACCTGCATCTCTAGACTTTCATCCATTTTTTGTATACACCACCTCATGCTGTTCATTTTTCTTGCAGGTTGTCTCAAAGTCCTCATCTTTGTTACACAAATCATCCAAAAAACACATGAAAACACCTTTGTTCTTTGAAATCCACTCCATGAATCCGGTTATAAGTGGATATCTAACCATATAGTTCTAGGCTTATATTCCAATTTATGGGGTTATAAAATGTTATAATTAAGTGGATATTAATCATAGTTCTAGGGTTATATTCCAATATCTTCCAATATATTCCAGCTTTACTCACCAACCACAGTTCTAGGGTTGTATTCCAATATATTCCAATTTGCTTTACTAATTCACCATGGTTATATCATGGTTATAGCCATGTTATGCAACCTCAACTGCCCCCATGGCCACGCCAACCCGCCACGTTCGCCCGCCGCGTTTGCCGTGTGGCTGGCAGGCCGTCAAGCGCTGCACTGCGCGCATCTCGCTCTGGGGGAAGATGGAGGCCCAAAAGCCTTGCTGCCTCGCCGTTGCGGCATCGCCAGTTTTGAAGAGAAACGAACTTGGGAAACCATAGTCATAAAATTGAAGAGATTGGGAAACTTAGGAGACTAGGGCAAACTTCAGATTTTTTTGCGCTTTGGTCTGATAGCGCTTTATAATAACTCTAATAACTGTTGGTTTATGGTAGATATATCCATAATTAATATTAACTAATTGTGTCACTAAATCAGCAAACAGAACAGGAGTGCATCACCTTGCAAAAAAGAACTTTTGTTTTTTTGGAGGAATGGTGAATATGGGGTCTGCCGCTTGCAAACCCATGAAGTGGGAGGGTTTAACGATCAGCCCTCAGGAAACGAAAGCTGGGGAATAGAATTACATCAATTACATCAATCAATCATTGAATGTTTGCAGGTGATCATGATGATCATGATGATCATCATTCCACACCTTGGGTTTTTCAACAATTTCGCATATTTCAAGCCGCCCAAAAATGATGAACCAAACAGTCAGTCATGCCATGGTCATGGCCCAGATCCGCATGAGTTACTCTCGTACTGGATGCCACTGGGACCATGAATCCCCCTTGGTAAATCCTCGGGAAGTGGAGGGGTTCACCCCAATTCGAATTCAGCAGGCTACTGCGGCAATCTGCAGTAACTGGGGTGAAGCAACACACGATTCCTGGCTAATTTGCCAAATGGTCATTGGCAATCCTAGGCCTATTTCCGCATTTCCGCATCGATTTTTGCTACTCAAGATTGAATCAATTGAATCCTCAATATCTCAATATGATTCGGTTTCCCCATTAACACCCACATCTTAGACTTGCCATGATCTAATCCCATGGAAAATCCAATGAATCCAAAAAACATTGCTTGGTGTTTTTACCCCGTTTCCCCATGCCAACCCCCTCTGGTTTGTGGTTTCAACCCCTCTGAAAAATATTAGTCACTTGGGATGATTATTCCCAATATATGGAAAGTCATAAAATTCATGTTCTAAACCACCAACCAGATGATGACTCAAACAAACAAGTACCCATTGAAAATGGTGGATCTTTCAATAGTTATGTAACAGTTTACCAGAGGATATAAGGGGGTTTAACCTGCCAGATACCCTCTGGTAAACTAACATAACTATGGAAAATCACCATTTTCAATGGGTAAATCCACTATAAGCCTCCATTTTCCTATGGTGTTCCTATGGTTTTCCCATTAAAACCTCCATTTTCCCAGGGTTTTCCCATGGTTTTCAATACCAAACTGTGACTGACATAACCAGAGGGAAAGTGATCCCAATGAAACTCCCCAAGTGCACGGTGAACCAAGGGACTCTTCCAAGATTCCCACCTCCCGCAGGGCTGCCACCACATCACCTTGGGACGTTTGTTAAATCAATGGATTGGTTAAATGGTTAAAGGGAAAATCTTAACCGGAATCCATGGTTTTACTATCAAATCTAAGGGTTTCCTGTAAATTTCCCATCATCCAATTCTATGATTAAATGAATAACGTTAGCCAAGGACTACTCAATTTACATAACTGCTTGGTGGTAAACTAACCATCTTGAAAAATATGAGTTCGTCAATGGGAAGGATTATCCCACATATTATGGACAATAAACAATGTTCCAAACCACCAACCAGATAAATATATGGTAGTATAACCATCTAATATATGTGTGATTTACTATTTAAACTTTATTAGTTTTAATAATAATAATTGTAATGAATAACAATCTGCCAACATCACCATTATCCAAACATGATCCACCATCTATCAGCTGAAAATCAACCCCCCCATTTCTTTTCAATGATAGATGATCATAGATAATAAATGATAGATGATGCTAGATGAAAGGTGATGATAGATATTTAGAAGAAGAAGAAGAAAAGGAAGAAGAAGAAGAAGAAGAAGAACATGATGATGATGATGATGATGATGATGATGACGATGACGATGACGATGACGACGACAAATCATGATAAATGATGATAGATGATGATGTTAGTAGAGCAGTAACAAACCCACCCATATTTTGATGGTTGGAATCCCACCCGTTTATGGCTTATTATTGGGGATGGTTTGCATTTGCCTTAGTAGCATTACCTTGAAATACCGTGGTTTAACAAAGTACGTCTTCTCTCGATTTTGAAATAACTATCAAGGCTTGACAAAAATCGAGAACGATGGAACTAATTACTACTTTATTTAAAGTCATCATGTTGATTTAACGGACAATTGCAGAGTGATACAAATTGCACATGGCTTTGGCATGTCTTGGTAGGACCTCTCAGAGCCCTCTCCTTCTGACACCATGCAAACGTTAATAATCAACGATGGACAATCTTAGGTAACCCATCAAAAGTGGTGGAATCTAAAATATATGCATCTTATCTAATCATCTAATCATCTAATCATCTGTCTATCATACACCTATCATCACTTTATGTAGTTTCGCTCAAACTCACCTCACCTGGACATGCCAAGGTGCTGTCATGAGTGTCACTGAAGATCCAGTTTGGAGGCACCACCTGTCACGGGTGAATCCCAGAGATACCTCAAAAAAACAAATGACTGGTTGGTGGTTTCAACCAACCCCCTGAAAAATGATGGACTTCGTCAGTTGGGATCCTGACATTCCCAACTGAATGGAAAGTCATAAAATTCCATGGTTCCAAACCACCAAGCAGATGATGACTCAATGAAAAAATGCGAAAAACTCCTGGCCCCCTGTTCCTTCGGAAATTTTGCTCCATGCCCAAGTGAGTAACATAAACACGACATCCAAACCACGTAGGAATTGAGTAAGACATCATGAAACATCCCTTGGCTCGTGGAGGCTTTCTCACAATCGTTCCTGCCTGCTGCTCTTGGTATGCATCTCTCCCTTCACCGAAGCCGAAGACCAGCCTTAGTGACATGCCAAGACAACTTCAGGGATGCAAAGAAGCGTATTCATCAGGAAATGAACCCTCTTAAGTGCAATCAAACATGGCTAGCTGGATAATCCCCTTTACCCTCTGGTAAACATACAAAAAGCTATTGAAAATGGCCATTTATAGTGGATTTACCAATTAAAAATGATGATTTTCCATAGCTATGTTAGTTTACCAGAGGGTAAATACAGTTGTTGATGGGAAAATGATCGAACTCTAGCTGGGTGATTTTCGAGCCATGGAGCTGATGGCTTTACCCGGTTTACCCAGTTTAGTCATCTTTGGCCATGCAAACATCACCATGTTTAGCCAGACCTTGATCTACATTTCTAGTAGGCTAACATGGTGATGTTCTGTTGTCACCTTGGCTGACCGGAGGGTTGGGTTGTTAGCACGTCGAACTGGGAAAATCATGTGTGCACACGTGTACCATTGATTCTCGCAGAATGAACCTCAACACACGCTATATAAGCACATTCACAAGCATACTGGCATATACTGCTAATTCTCACATTTTGTGTACTGTATATATATATATATATATTATTGATACGTGCATATATAATCAAATATATTTATTACAAATATACATATGCACACACACATATATATATAGTATAGAAACAACATTAGTCATAATATAAATATACATATATATATATATATATTATATAATTATATAAATATACATATGGTCGAATCATCCACAGCCGAGTTGGGATTGCATGTCCACGGAATGGAATTGAAACAGAAGGTGTGGTGAGGTCACATTCTTCGTTGGAATCTCTTCTAACGTGTGTTGCTATGGTTCAAAATCACTTTCCCTCTGGTAATGACTAACATAGCTATTGAAAATGGCCATTTACAGTGAGTCAGTGAGTTTTCCCACTCAGCATTCACAATGGTGATTTTCCATAGTTATGTTAGTTTACCAAAGGATTCCCCAAAACAACCCCCAAATTGGTATCACTCAGAACTTACAATTCAAATCATCCAACTGAGCAGATTCAGAAGAAGATAGAATTAGAACAACCGTGTACTTAGTCCTCTGAAAATGAAAGCTGAAGTAAACTAACATAGCTATTGTAATAGGTAAATCAAGTATTCCTATGGGCAATTGCCCATAGCTTATGTTAACTTCCATATGGAACATGGTCAAAAAGAAAGGTAGGTCGGTCCCCACCACGGCCAGTGCAGTCAAAGCTCCTGACCTCAGTTGCGTTAAAGACCGTCAAACCCTGCTGGATGGGATGGTCCATGGACTTTTTTTGACCCAGTTATACCGGTATACTCTGTAATGTTGGTAAAACAATAATCCTAGCATCCTAAATTTGTGATATACAATTTGATATCCAAATTCTATTGATATCCCATTGATCAATGGCCATGCAGCAGGAACCGATTTATTGGAGGTACCTAGCATATATAAGGCCTATTTTTCAGGCCTATGTAAGGGAATATCCCAGCAAAATATGGCCTTATATGGTACAGTACCTCATTTTAGGATCCTGAAATTCCCATTGATATAATGTTGGTAAAACAATAATAAACCATTCCCAAGTTCACATTTTTTTGGATGGTATGTTTACCATTCCCAGTCATGGTTGGTTTATGACATTGTTCCTAGGTTTATGAACCACTTGGAATTCGTGGGATGGTCCTCCGAGTGCGCATTTTCCGAGGGACTTTCCGATGGGTTGTTTATGGAATAGAAAATGGCAAGGTGGGATTTCATATCTGAGGTATACCATGAATGGCAATTCATATCTTAGACCATATTAGAAAATAGACTTTTCAAGTGATGAATCTAATTGGCTTAGGCATTGCGCTCACCAAAACAACTTATCAATGCAAATAACTCCTGGATACTACTGCACACAAAAAGTCATCATCCTACATGCAACGCGTTGAACGTGTTGCCTTGCGAATGTGTAAAATCCAAGAATCACGGAATAACAAGTCCTGTTCGACGATCCGCACGCAAGCTTGAGAGTTCCCAACATACATCAACATTAACATACTAGAAAGATTAACAAAGGATGAGTTGAGACAATACAAACTGCTCCATGTTTCAATGCAAGCGCTTTTTTCCCTCCGCGGAGTCATCTCGGTAATCTTGCACAGAGAAGGCCTGGGACTCCGGCAATGAGGTGGAGACGTTGAACCTGAAAAAGAGCGGCGCAATGGACAGCCAAGACTGTTCAGGAATGTTCAGGAATTATTTTTAGGGGATGGAGAACATTCACGAAGTTCATGAACGTCCATCCCTCATCCAAAAACAGATCCTGAACATCTTGGAGTGCTGATCTGGGCGATCTCGCTGCTATGTTTTCCTGGGTCCGAGATGTGAACCTCTTCTGATCTTCAGAAACTCCGAGCTGACTCTGGAACTCCTCAATGGCACGGAGAAACCTTCCGCATCTGTCCCGTCAGTTCACAGGTCCCGCGGTGGCCGTCCACGAAGGCAGCCACGAGTCTCAGGATCTGCAGCTAGGCGAAAGGTCGAGCTTTCCATGGCAATGTGCTGCGAAGCCGCAGCACATTGCAACGGGACCTTTTTAGTGCCCCCACTGGCCTGCTACAACTCATCTGGTGCGAGCGGGCACAATTGAATAGCATGCTAATCAAAAACCATCAAAAGCCAATTCCTTCTGGAGGTTCCCAATGTGCCCTCACCAAGTTGCCTGTGCGAGCTGCCTGGAACGCAATGTGAGTTGTGACTTGTGAAAAACCATGAAAAAACCAAGGTGAGATTTCTGTCCCATGGCAATGTGCAATGTGCTGCGAAGCCGCAGCATATTGCAACGGGACCTTTTTAGTGCCCCCACTGGCCTGCTACAACTCATCCGGTGCGAGCGGGCACAATTGAATAGCATGCTAATCAAAAATCATCAAAAGCCAATTCCTTCTGGAGGTTCCCAATGTGCCCTCACCAAGTTGCCTGTGCGAGCTGCCTGGAACGCAATGTGAGTTGTGACTTGTGAAAAACCATGAAAAAACCAAGGTGAGATTTCTGTCCCATGGCAATGTGCTGCGAAGCCGCAGCACATTGCAACGGGACCTTTTTAGTGCCCCCACTGGCCTGCTACAACTCATCCGGTGCGAGCGGGCACAATTGAATAGCATGCTAATCAAAAACATTCAAAAACCATCAAATCAAAAGCCAATTCCTTCTGGAGGTTCCCAATGTGCCCTCACCAAGTTGCCTGTGCGAGCTGCCTGGAACGCAATGTGAGTTGTGACTTGTGAAAAACCATGAAAAAACCAAGGTGAGATTTCTGTCCCATGGCAATGTGCTGCGAAGCCGCAGCACATTGCAACGGGACCTTTTTAGTGCCCCCACTGGCCTGCTACAACTCATCCGGTGCGAGCGGGCACAATTGAATAGCATGCTAATCAAAAACATTCAAAAACCATCAAATCAAAAGCCAATTCCTTCTGGAGGTTCCCAATGTGCCCTCACCAAGTTGCCTGTGCGAGCTGCCTGGAACGCAATGTGAGTTGTGACTTGTGAAAAACCATGAAAAAGCCAAGGTGAGATGGCATCCAGCAAGCAAACACCGCATTCTATGTCAGCATTTGGATCTTTAAAAGTCTTTGTGCCCAAAGTCACCGGTAAGAAGTCTTAAACACCACAGAACATCGGTATTTAAAAAGCGAAGCAATCGCCAAGACCACAAGGCCAAGTAACTCACCAAGCTTTGCCCAGTTTCCACCACTCTTCACCATCCTAAAACCTCTCAAGTTCCCTTTCAACATTGCCACACATTAAGGTAAATCACCCATTTCAAGGACAAAAACCCATCACATGCCCATAAATTGGCGATCAAAAACAATTTAACATCTCATATTCCACCAAATTCCCAAGACCTAAAACACCATAAAATGTCATTAAAAAATATTAAAAAACATAGTTAATATATGTTAACATCCCAAAGCCAACCCAAAGATCACCATCCAGGTCTCACCTTCTGGCCGCTGGATCTTCACCGGCTTGATCTGAAAGATATCACAATTGGGGCTTAGAATTTTCATTCAACATTGCCATACCTTGGAGAGTTCAAGTGGTTAAATCACCCATTGTCAGGCTCAACTCATCTCAACTCTCAGATTGTTGGATATGATGATATGCCATTAGATTCCCATTAGATATCCACATCTTTGATTGGTAACCATGTCAAAGCCCTATCTTTGATGCTTAAACCAGCCTTTTTCCATAAGCCCTACGTTTTTGTTCCCTCAAAAACACCAAAACTGGGCAGCCAACTCCCGGGTTTCGCGGGTTTCGCTACCCTCTTGTAATCTAACAGTTCGCTATGGAACATTATCATCAAACAAAAAACGGTAAAAGATCGATAAAGGTTATAAGTTGGTTTAGATTCGCCCCAATAACTATAGTTATTTGATGTTATTTGCGTACCATAAACCATAGTGAAATTGGAGTTATATTCACCAACTGAACGCTATCGTAAACGGGGGCCCCACTTGGTAAACCACCATGGTGGCACCCACCATCTGCTGAGTGGCTCCATTGCTGGGCATGACGTTGAGCTCCAGAACCTGAGCCTCCCGGAGTCCCTTGGACTTCTCGCCATCCTGGAGATTTGGAGCTTAAAACATGGTAAATTTCGATGGTTTATAGCAACCAATGGTGGAAAAAAAACATTGGGAATTGTTGAGGGATACCTTTGTTTTGCACTATAGGTGTTTTGTTTTTGGATTGAAGGTTTTTTTTTTTTAAGACAGGAAACCATGGTTTTTACCGGATACCTAGAGGTGGGTGGGGAAAAATGGGGATTAAGCAGCAAATCTCTGGGATAATTGTGGATCAACATGGGATGGCTGATTTTTCCATGGCTAGTTCACCCAATTAATTGCATACATGTATATATATATAACAATTATGATTATAGTAATAATTAAAGTAATAATAAGAATTAGAATTATTATTATTATAAAATAATGTGTGTTACATTAAATTATACATATGTTATATATATAAAATATTATACATAATATATATTACATATATATATATACATATTTATGAATATGTACCTCAGTTTAAAAAAAACAATCGTCGAATCAACAACTTGTAATGGCAACATCTTTTTTTGAACCCAGGACTTTGAATCAAGTGCCAACCCTGCAAAACGACATAAGACGACTCATGAAGCGCGGCTTGGGAGACTTACCCAACGATTTTGAACCACGAACCATGTTCTGAGCCACCTCTCGAGGAGATTGTGGAACCGGAGCTGTTTTTTTCAATAATGTCCTTTTGGTAAAAATAGAGGGGCCGGGGGCTGGTATACCATCTGTCATCAAACTTACCTGTTGTTAAAAGGGGTAAACGTTCAAACCCTTCTATTGATCAACCAACGAATGGGAAAAGGACATCTATCTGGGTAAATTACAAAACAATCACCAACCTGAAACGTTGGTAAATATCTGGGATGACTCCTCTTAAACCATGATTATATTTTACCCAGTATGTTTTTTGGAACATTCATACTGGGTAAACACTGGGTCATCCACTGGATCACTGGTTCATGGTCATCCCCCAGAAGATTCGACCAATAGTTCACCAATCACGGGCTGTTCTCGTCACATCACAGTGAACAACAATCTATTTCAGCTGTTGTCAGTTCTACCTAAAATCTGAAGAAACCAAGTCCATACCCATATGAAACACCTATTCATCATATTCATCCATTCATCCCATAACAAAATCCCATTCTAGGTCACATAGACGTCATTTTCCCCATATTTTATGGCAAGGATTCAGGATTTGAGGTGCCACCCGGTTGGCACCCGATAGGCACCTGCATATAGTGATAGGATTGGACGCGGGCACCCACCTGCATAGCTGACCGTGAAGAGATAAAAAAAACAACACATGGTGCTACTTGGACCACTCATCTCAAACATGTTGTCTAATTATATGTCATAAATTTATAAACCAAAAAGGCTGTTATCTACGCATTATAAACATAAATATTTCAATTATAATTAGAATGAAGTGAATTAGCATCGCAATCCAAAGTTTCAGGGGCGGACATGGAAAAATGTTAAACCCCAACAACCAAATATGTGTCGTCTTGAGTGTCTTCATCTTGGGCGGCAAGCGTTCAGTATAGAATTAATATTTCAAACATGTTCAAACTGATTGTGTCCCTTTCTCCAGCATTTGTGTTTCCCAAAACATGGTTCAAATAGGAATTCTGAACAGGAAATCTCACCATATTTGGTTCAAATAGGAATTCTGCACAGGAAATCCGCAAATCCCAAGACATGGGTTGAGGCAAACAGCCATGGCTGTATGGCTAAAAAGGCCTCGATGATGGAGGGCGCATCCACACCCCATTGTTTCCGTGCCACCTCAGCGGACCCCGCCATGGGATTCCATAGGATTCATGAAGAAATTCAGAGATACCCGGCCTGGTAAACAAACAGTTTGCTATGGAAAAACACCAATTTTAATAGGTAAACCATCTATAAATGGAGGTTTATCCTCTAGTAAATATACAAAAAGATATGGAAAGATCCACCAGTTTTAAGTTCGGTAAATCAACTATTAAACTAACTATAGGTAAATCACCATCTGCTAGTTAAAGGGTAAATCGACTATTTCTATGGGCCATTGTCCATAGCTTATGTTAAATTACATTAAATTACCAAAGTGATCCAAAGGGAAAGTCGTGGATTGTTGACCCTCCCCTATGACGTAATGACCATGGCATTATGGATGCCCTGAAGATAAAGAAAGTTGCTGGGGAAGACGTTCCCATCAGTTCACCCCCAAAATCATGGAGGACGTTCCCACATGAAGCCCTTAAGCTGAAAAAACCAAGGTTTACAGGTAATTTAAGCTATGGACAATGGCCCAAAGAAATAGCTGGTTTACTAACCTGAGCAATTTCTTCTAGGTCTTATACTTATACTGTGACACATTTAGTCATGTGCTGGTCTCTGAAGAAGACTTCGGTGGAAGAATCGTCTCAGAAGCCAGAAAGAGCAGCAGCTTGAAGCAGGGAACAAAATAAGAAGTGGTTTATAGTTATAAAATTGCAGTTTTCACTAAACCGACTCAACAGTCACCCAGGTTAGTTAACATATCCATTCATATTCATCTGTATATCCATTAATCTGGGTAAATTGTAATATTTCACTAACCTGAATCTTGCGGCCATTTGGGGATGATTTCCCATGAATTAACCATAATTTCCAGGGTTCGGGAGAACAGTGAGGTCGTTATAATTTACCAAGATTAATATAGTATGTTAGTATATTACAATGGAAAATGCTCTTAAAATGGATGGTTTGGGATGATTTGTGGGTACCATGTTAGGAAACCCCCTGTATTAGTATCTGTGGTCTTCTCATATATAAATATTAAATCTATTATATCGTATATTATATATATGATTATGTAAGAACCATTAATAGATTCATGAACCCCATGATACTTTCCCAATGTTTGATGATGTTCTCCCAGATTTTCCCCAATATTTA